CCTGTGTGCTGAAAATCCACCTCAATCTGTGGGGAAGAGATTTACTACAACAATTACAAGCTACCATTCAATTTAATGAGTAAGCTTGCACTTCCCCTCAACTGGAAATCTTCTGGTCGTGTCCTGGCTATACGTTTAATTACATTCCAGCAAACATCAGCCATGGCACACCTTGCTGTTTAAGCCGTTTGTCCATCATTTTATCGCTGCAATACTGAATTGACTAATGATTGTGATGCTTTTGTCTCTCTTCTCAGTAGGTCTGAATATATCTCTTTAGTTGCTTCTCTCTTAGGAGTCCCTGGATTGGCTGTACAGAATCGTATGAACATTAATTCTTTAGCAAAAGCCCTGAATTTTACTTCACAAGCCCTTCACCTTTTGAATAAAGAACAGAGTGGACTTTTATAATGGACTTTTATATAATGGACTTTTACGAAATCGTGCTGCTATCATTATTTGCTCATGCTTCATCATTATGGCTGTGAACAAGTGAATGACATGTGTTGCTTCAATATTACTGATAATTCTGAAGGCATTCAAAGCCAAATCTCTCATTTGCAAAATCTTACACATCACATTAAACAGGATGTTGGATTTTTCTGGCCTCTGGGATTCTTTCACCCAGTGGCTTACCGCTTGGTTGCCAAACTTTACTTGGCTTCGTAGTCTCTTTCAATATGCTATTTTCATAATTTCTATTCTTATTTTACTATGCTGTTTCCTTCAATGCGTTCCTAGCCTCATGAGTCTTTTCTCTCGGCTTCTCTCCCCCCCTCCCCCACCCAGCAAACTCCTTGCTGCTTACATTGCGAAATGGCAACACCAACAGTAAACCATAGGGGAGATGTGGGCAGATTTATTTTGGGCATTCGCTGGCAAACCACGTATCCTGAAGTACTTTTGTCCCATCGACCCTGGCAGGCTTATTTCGGGCATTCGCTGGCACACCACTAATCCCGAAGTATTTTTGCCTTATCCACCTGGAATGCCTCGCAAACAAGAAAAGAAAGGGGAGATGAAGGGAAGTTTTCTTTCTGCAGTTTCTCTTACTGCACATAATGTGGCATTGTGGGAAGTCTTACTATGAAATCTTTCTATGAGAACTATTGCTTCTTTCCTCTCTTACATTCTGGGAAGTTTTTGCCTCTGCACATAAGTCTGAGAATGTTCTGAACAGTTCCCATTGAGTTTCATGAAACAGTGTATCCTGACCTGTTCTTAATGCATTGCTGACCACATTTACGGAACGTGATTGTTGTATTCCTTCATGTTATGTTCTCTCAATATCAATCTTTAGTTATAATTTAATTAGGAGGTTTCATGCCTGTCTAGTTCCAGCTCCGTTCCCAGTCTTTTGAACTATCAGTGATTAATGTAATATGTAATGCCCGCCTTGTACCTATGTTAACCAATCAGCAACAAGATGCTTTGTGTTTGTATCAACCAATCAGCCACAAGCACACCTGTGGCAATGTTTGTAATATTCAATAAAAGAGAGTTCCCGGGACTTGCCCCGGGCAGACGCCTCTCCTTTGACACCCACCATTCGTCTGTCGTGATTTCAACCCAACACAAGCCCACACAAGGAGCGCAGAAACTTCTTCTGCATCCACTCACTTGTTTGGGCACTAAATTAAAATAATGTTTTTTATTTAATTAACCCCCCCCCCCAAATCTCCCATGCATGAATGAACAGCGATAAGAGCACCAGGGATTATTGAGGGTTGTGCGTGTCCCTGAAAACAAGGGCACCCAGAAGGGGAAACTCTTGATTCATGTCATCCCGTGCAACCTAGCAAGCTGCACGGGCAATCTGCGGTCTCTTCGCTCCCCCGGCTTTGCATAGCTCTGTGGTTCACCCCCCCCTTGCGCATTCCAAGGGCTAAGCCACGTCCCCACCCACTCCGCCAGCTGGCCTCTTGTGCCTCCCAGCGCTGTCGCCTTCCCACCCCTCGTCCCTCCTCTTCTGCCATAAGCCTCCCCAAAGTCCGGGCATGCAAAGGTGCAAGCGCACCGGTCCCCGCGGGAATTGCTCCCCCGCTGCTGCCGCTCCAAGCCCGCCCCCAACTGGTGCGCGAAGCACAATGCAGAAGCTGCGCGCGCCCTGCCTGTGCGTTCCCCACCTACTGGGCAAAGGGGAGCGCACCGCGCTTGCCCAGTCCCCCGCTTCCACAGCAAGACGAGCGGCTTAGCGGACCATTAAAGAGGGCAGGTAGCTGACTCTACGGACCAATGAAAACGAACCCGGCGGAAGGAGGCGTGACGCTGCCAACCCACCCGTCTCAGCCTTCCTTCCTTCCTCTGGGGTCTCGGGAGGAATCTCAGCCAATGATGAAAGGCTGGAGGCGTTTCCGCCCAATAGGAAAGCGCCGAGGGGGTTGGCTCGGTGAGCCGCGTGCAGGAAGTGCGCTGCGGTGAAGCAGCAGCAGCGGCAGCTCCGGGAGCGGCATGGCGGCGGCGGGGATGAAGAGAAAGCAGCAGAGGCAGCGCGGAGCTTCCGCTTCGGGCTCAACGGCGGGGGGCGCAGCGCGCAAGAAGCGCAAGGTCAGTGGGGAGTGCGGGAAGTGGGGGGAGGGAGAGCGGCCGAGCTCCCCATCCCGGGGCGCCGCGTGGCTGAATTACTTGGCGACATGCTCTCCCCTTTCGGCCGTCGGGCTCGTTTAAGGGGTCCCCCCTCCACTGCCCTAAGCAAGTTATTCTCACGGGGGCAGAGACCAAGGGTGAGGAGGGTGGTGGGGATAGCACCACGTGCTCGTTTCCAAAACAGTAAGGAATAGGGTGGGATGAGCACCAGCAACTGTGCAGTGAGCCTTAGCAAGTTTACTCGCGAGGAAGTTCACTGGTTTCAGTCGAGCATGTTGCTCTTTTCGCTAGCGGCCTTAAGCGGTACTCGAGGGTGCCTCGCAGGCTTAAATTACTTGTTAAATAAGCAGTAGGGGTCACGATTCTGTCGTTTGAGAACTTGCCATTGGCTTTGTACTTCATATCCGTACTTTGGTAGTTATGAGAATCCAGAGAGAGAATTTTGCATGTAGAATGGGTTTTGGTTGCACAATTAGTCAGTTCTCCAGCTACTAGTCATTGGCCATCTTTACCACTTAAAACTCCTGTTCCTCAATACTGTATAGCAATGCTTCATCTTAGTAGACTTGCAATTGCTTTCTGAAATGATTGTTTTACTTCCTAGCTCCCTGCTGCCGATGAGAAAGCGTGGCAGAAAGCTGGCTCTAAGCTGAATGAGGAGATTTCCAGCGATTCTGAACCAGACACGTAAGGATATGCATTGGTCTCCCTCTGTATCTTAGAAGGAAAGATGCATGATCTTGAATAAAGATGCATGTTCTCAGAAAAATGAATTCAGAGAACCAGACTTGGTATGAATCCCCTCCCTAAGGGGGGTAAGATAATAAGAGAGTTGGGTGAGAAAATTGTGTTCTCCTTGCTGCAAAGCAGGCTGTTATGTTCTTGTATAGGTCTAGACATTTGTGTAATACTTTGCAGTGTAGCTCGTAGGGATTCTTGGAACACAACCCTTTCTTGACCCTTAGGGGACACTGTGGGAGAACTCCTCTGAGATTGTGAGAATGTTATTTCTAGCTAATGGATGATTGTAAGAGCCTTATGGGTTGTATCTTTCCCACCTGTAGCCCAGCAAGAAAAAGAACAATGAAGCAGCAGATGAAATTGAGGAGACAGCACAAGAAAAGAAACTAAGATTAGCAAAGTTATATCTGGAGCAGCTTCGACAGCAAGGTGAGATGTTGGATATGTTGTGATATAACATGACTGCAAACTCTGTGAAGTATTGTAAAACATCAACCAAGATGGTTTTAAAAAGTAAGAGAATCTGGAATGAAGAGTGAAAGCTCCTATGAGAAGCTCATGGTCTTTTTTTAAAAACATTGATGTAGAGGAAATGATTGCAGAAATTTACTAAGACAGTATAGCTTAGCTTGCTGACATATCTCAACTCTTTGACTTTTAGAATCTGCTTAAGAGAAGCAATTTTTTAAGAAGTGTGTTGGGAAGGGAGATTGGTTTGGGGTACTTGTTCTCCTCAAAGTGTCTGGAGTGGCCTGTTTGGGGTCAATTCCTGTGGTTATGCAAACAAACAACTCTGATTCTCTTTGCCACAGCCACTTTATCTGATAAGCCAGCTTTTGCCAGGGAACTGGTACACCCAGCAATTTCAAGTGGCAGCCATGCATTTGTGGGATATGTACAAATTGACCCCTAGTACCTTGACGAATGGCTCTTCTAGGACAGTATTCTTCAATCCTTGGGTTGGTGGACTGAACTCCTGTCATTCCCCAATTAGTTTAGTCAATGGCTGGTGATGGTAGGAGTTGTGGGTTGCATTCAGGCAGCACTTTATTACATTTATTACATTTTCTTTACTTTGTAATTGCTGTGTGTTACGTGATCTGGAAATCTAACAGAATGTAGTGGAAGTTTCATGCTGATTTCCATGCTAATTGCTTCCAGAAAAAAATAGTTTGTGTTGTAATTTACCCACTGTTTGTCACGCTTCACACTATGTGATGAAATTTAGGATGGTTTTCCAGCCACGGCAATTCTTTCCCATAGTTTTCATGGGTGAATCAGGAACAGAAACACACATGTACATCAAGACATTCACATGTTCAATGACATTCACTCTTTGAAGCCTTGGGTCTTATGCCCTGTTTGTATGTGTTTCCCTGAGCAGAAGAGGAAAAAGCTGAAGAAGAGGCCTTTGAGAAGGACCTGGTTGCCGGCCGGCTGAAGGAAGATGTGGTGAGTAGGATACTGTACTTGGTAAAAAGGTGCTGGGCTTCAGAAGGGCAGAGGAGAGGCAGATTTTCTCAGCTAATGAATAAGCTTTAATGGGGTATTTTCATTAGAGAGTAAAAGAGAAATTCCTTCCACGTTGTAGCTGCTGACTGGGGGCTTGGCCCCTTCAACAGGCCCTCTTCCACATAGTAGCAAGAAGCTGGTTGGTAAGCAGGAAAATCAGCAGTCCATATATGCCTACCCATGCTTGCCTTTCAAACAGCAAGTGGAAACGGACAGCAAGGGCTGTTGTTGATGGTGTGTGTGTGTGTGTGTGTGTGTACACATACAGTTTCCCACTCCTATCTTAAAGCATATTTGTAACTACAGTCCTCTAATACTTATCTCTACACTCATGAGAGCTGGAAACATAAGATTTTTAAAAATTAAAGATAAGACCTATCAGTTCTGTTAATTTTGAGCAGTGTTGCTTGCACATTGTTAAAACTACTTGGGTTTTGGGAAGCGGGAGAGAGGATTCTATTCCATCCAATTTTATTTTACTCTTCTCCCATAGCTTGAACAGAAAGGAAAATTGCAGCGACAAATTGCCAAAATCGTAAGTAGATACAGCATCCCTTGAGCCTTTCTTCCTGCAGGATTTCAGAGCAGCTATAGCTCTGTTACTTGAAGGAGAGGTGGCGTATTAATTTACCAGATTACACATGGCACTCTTTCTTCTACTACGTGAGATTACTTGGAGATTTAGTCATCAGCTTTTAAATGAAAATTGTTCTCTTCTCCTTGGCCGTTGTAATGTTCATGGAATAGTTCTGCCAGAAACTGTGCAGTTGCCAAATTCTGATAGTTTCAAGTTAATTTTCAAAGAAGTTGGTTATTTTGGTGGCTCGATGCTCCAGTTTTATTTAACAAATCTGGCTTGGTATTGGATAAGAGCATTTAGTGCTACTATTCTATTTATCTAGTATGGAAATAGGAGACATAAAGTGCCTCAGTTTGCAGAGTCAGTGGAATGGAATGTTTCCTTTTCATACTGAAAAACAGTTAAAGTTTTATCTCTGGGCATGAAATTATTTGTGATGCAGCCTCAAATATTGCTCTTACTGATACTCTTTGAACAGTTGCAGCCTCCAGACGCATCTGAAATCAGGGTACTGCGTGGTCATCAGCTCCCCATCACCTGTTTGGTCATCACACCAGATGATAAATACATCTTCTCTGCAGCCAAAGACTGTTCAATCATCAAATGTGAGTCTTATTCTATACAATATGACATAGTGTTAAGACTGAGTGTTGAGTTGAACTTAGCAGTATACAACCCTGTGCTGTTGTTTTAAATTTCACCATCTCCTCCTTGTGTGATCTCTGCTAATTTCTCTTTAACTACTGTTAGAAGGTACCTTATTTCGAAAGGAAATCTGCCACGTTTTTGCCGCCTCAACCATGGATTCTACTGCAGTAACTCAACTCCTTGAAAATGACTGTGTGGTATTAGCCTTCTTGTCTAACTCATTTTAGCCCTTGTTGTATCTTAGGGGATGTGGAGAGTGGGAAGAAGGTGCATGTGATCCACAGAGGAAAGAAGGGGACAAAGGACAGTCACGTTGGCCACACAGCACACATCCTCTCCATGGCTATTTCATCAGATGGCAAATACCTGGTAAGAGAAACTGACACCGCCCCCCCCCCCCCCCGAGATGGAGGACTATTTGAGTTCTCAATTTTTGCAGCTCAGATTTCACTTTTAAGAGGGAAAGCCAGACAACCCCTCCTCCAGTTGTCCTTATTGGTCCTCTTAATCTGCTTGGGTGGGCTTTTGGCTAGCATGATGTTCCTTTGGCAGGTAGTTGCTAATCAAACTCTTGTGTTATTGGTCATGGCAGCATGTGGGTGCACATGTGGTGCTCAGGCATTCCTGCACTGTATATCTGTCCTTTCACAGGAATGGATAAAGTGAGGTACTTCTGTTGTCAGCTGCTAATAGGGTGGTAAAAGCCTGCCTTATACCAAGCCAGACCCTTGATCCATCCAGCTCAGGAATATCTACACTGATGGGCAGTGTCGCTGTGGGCTTTTGGCTGGAAGTCTTTCCCAGCTCTATTTAGAGATCCCAGGGACTGAACTCAGGACCTTTTGCATGCAGAGCACTTAACACCAAGTGGAGAAGCTACTGGCTTGGATTTTAGTGTGCCCTGGGCCTCTCTAGAAGCTTGATCTAAAAAGCCAAGTAGAGTAAAGGGGAGGGAGCCAACCCAGCAGCCAGCATGAATTGTCCTTGACTTAGTGGTTGTCTTACTACTGCTGATACCAGTAAACGTGTACAATGTTGCTGAAGGGTTGTGGGTACTGATAAGCATCTTGCCTTACCTTTTCTCTTAGGCAACAGGAGATAGGAACAAACTTATTTTGATCTGGGAAGCTGCAACCTGCAGCCACCTGTATAAGTTCACAGGTCACCGTGATGCCATATCGGTAAGTAAGTTCATTGCCTTGGTTGTAATGGTGCTGTAGCTTAGGCAGGCACAGAATTTGGGTGTGGGCTTTTCTGGATTTCTTTTTTAAAATGTGAGCTGTGTTCAGCTATATCTTATAGGAAAGATGGGGGAAATATTTTAAATTCAAAGAAATTACTGTTAGATATAGATAAATGCAAGGATGTACCTTTTAAAAAGAATTTGGGACTTTTTGCCTGAGGGCATGTTGCAAAATAGGTGGTGTCCTACATTGTGTCGCAGAAAATATATCTCAGCCCTCCTTTATTTTTTGGGTCAAGTGCCATGTCACTTGAGTTTAAGCTCTTGTCCCCACCTGTAGCTTGTGCTGGTTGCTTGTTCCATAGCTTTGAAATCTGCTCTGGAGAAGAGGCAAATTAGGTCTGGCAGTGAGATTCAACTCTGCCATGATTGTGAACACCAATCAAATCCCTGCCTATTTTCATTTTTTTATGTTTTTATGATTTTTTTTAAATATATATTTCTTTTGCAATGACTTTGACTAGACCAGATAAATAAAATAAAAATCCTTCCCAGTCTTGCCTTCTCTTTCACACCACTGTCCCCCTTCTCCTTACTCTCCCTGTTCTCCAAATGCAGGGCCTGTCTTTCCGGAAGGGGACCCACCAGCTGTACAGCGCTTCGCATGATCGTTCAGTCAAAGTGTGGAACGTGGCTGAAAATGCTTACGTGGAAACTCTGTAAGGAGCCTTTTCCCCCCTTCTTCTTAGTGTGCTTATGGGTTTACAGAAATAAGTGGATGGGATTACAGAAATAAATGCACACTCCACAGCTGAATCTCATCTACTTTGCTATTCCCACACCTGCTTTCCTCTCAGGTTTGGTCATCAAGACATGATCACAGGACTGGACGGCTTGAGTCGGGAGTGCTGTGTGACGTCAGGAGGGAGGGACGGCACTGTCAGAATCTGGAAGATCCCTGAGGAAGCCCAGCTGGTGTTTTATGGGCACCAGTAAGTACTTACATAGAATTGGGGGGGGGGGGGGAGACAGGTTGGTGGGCTACGTACAGCGTGTCACACATCCAGCAAGGCACCCTGTGATTTTTGCTGTAAGCTGACCTACACTGAGTCAGACTATCGGTCAGTGTCGACACTAGCTGAAAGCAGTTCTCCTGGATTTCAGATGGGATACTTAGCCCAACCCTTCCTAGAGATGCTAGGCATTGAGTGTGGGACCTTCTGCATGCAAAGCAGCTATTCTACCACTGAGCTATGGTCCTTCGCCAGTGCCTAATGTATATAAAAATAGGACAGGAATGCTAAAGGCCGGAAAACCGTGTTGTATGCGCTGGTTTCTTCACAGTGGTTAGGGGCCTAAATGCAGGACTATTTAAAAAGGGGGCTGTGAAGGTGAAGGTTTTAAATATGGACATTGTTTGAGGCACCCAACATACATGAAACTGCTAATGCAGGGGAAGATAGCAGAGATTCTTTCCTGCATCAAAACCAGCATCCCCACCCCCTCCTTGACAGTGACCCCACACCTGTAGAAACGGCAGTTCATTGGTCTCTATCAATGCAGACTTTTAAGTGGGTCCTCAAAACAGATCTGTATGCTGTGGTATTCTCATGCTAAGGCTTTTAATTGGGCTGTTGAATCTGCAACGCTGTTCTACACTTTCATTTTTTTAAGAAATAGGACCTGTGGGTTAATGGTTGTTGTTCCTTGCTGGTATTCATTCATTTATTATTTGTAAAGGATGGCTGTGGACACACATCTTGGGAGGGCTTGGTCCTAAAAGGTGTTTTTATAAATACTGCAGCATGCCGTCTTAAAAAGAACAATGGTTTCCTGTTTTGAATTAGGGGCTCCATTGACTGTATTCAGCTGATCAATGAGGAGCATATGGTGTCTGGTGCAGACGATGGGTGAGTACTTCCTCAAGCCTTAACATTGCTAAATTAGCACTTTCACCCCATAGCCTCTTCTTGCACATATGTCATATAATTGTTTTATATTTCCTGAAGGTCAGTATGCCTCTGGGGTCTCTCAAAAAAGAAACCGCTAACCACAGTGAAGAAAGCCCACCGTCTCCATGGCACAGAGGGCCTGGAACAACCATACTGGATCTCTTCGGTTGCTGCTTTGCTGAACAGTGACCTTGTAGCCACAGGTACTTCATGCTTTGGTCTCATTTGCACATTACTGTAAACCGTAGTTAAGTGTCACTGTGCTTTAAAGGTGAAGGTGCAGTATGCTGGTGCGCAATGTTAAAATGGAAGGCGCTTTGTTTCTGCCTCGCTCTTGCTGTGTTTCTGGGAGCTAAGCCATGGTTTGGTCTACAGTTACATCGGAACCCAGGCTGGTGGAGAAGGAGTAAATTGCCTGCAAATTTTATTCCATGAATCACCATGCTGTGCATCCATCTTTAAACCAAGATATCTTCAGTTGTTTCAGACGCAGGACCTCTTTTAACCCAAACATTTCTTAATCTTTTACCATATACTTGTATGGTGCTAGGGCTCCTGTTGTGACCCACATTGCTTCAGGTAGAGACTCACTAGTGGATCGACACCCACCAGTTGAAGACTGGTGGTTTAAAGTGATGTGTGAACCCAGCATCTGAAACCCTTGCCTTGCTTTTCTTATTGTGCTGTAGCTAAAAGAAGGGAGGTGGTTGTTTTTTTAAAAAGGCCTGCTATAGTAAAAGCTAGGGATGCGGGTGGCGCTGTGGGTTAAACCACAGAGCCTAGGGGTTGCCAATCAGAAGGTTGGCGGTTCAAATTCCCACGACGGGGTTAGCTCCCGTTGCTCGGTCCCTGCTCCTGCCGACCTAGCAGTTCGAAAGCACGCCAAAGTGCAAGTAGATAAATAGGTACCGCTCCAGCAGGAAGGTAAACAGCGTTTCTGTGCGCTGCTCTGATTCGCCAGAAGCAGCTTAGTTATGCTGGCCACAGGACCCGGAAGCTGTACACCAGCTCCCTCAGCCAATAAAGCGAGATGAGCGCCACAACCGCAAAGTCGGTCACGATTGGACCTAATGGTCAGGGGTCCCTTTACCTTTTATAGTAAAAGATAGCTGTGTATTTTAGGCTGCATTTCTGTACTTAGAAGTAGGGCTTATTGAACTCAGTGGGGTTCAATGCTGAGTAGATTTTTGGTTGCACTTGTACACTCTGCTCAATGGGAAGCCTGCCTATATTTGGAACATTGAATAAAGCCATACAGTGGTACCTCTGGTTGCGAACGGGATCTGTTCTGGAGTCCCATTCGCAACATGAGCAGAATGTAACCCCCGTGTACACAGGTTGCGATTCGCTGCGCCTGTTGTCATTTTGTGTGTCTGTGCACGCGCAAGTGGCGAAACCCAGAAGTAAGCCTTTCCGGTACTTCCGGGTCGCCACGGGACGCAACCTGCAAAAACATATGAAACAAACACAACATGAGGTATGGCTGTATTCTGCTTTAGTCAAAGCCTGCCTAACAGGCGTGGGCTCAGATACTATTTCATGAGGCATTTCAAGATCCTTGTTAGGTGTAAGTGGCCCAGAGTAGCTGGGTAAACCCAGCCAGATGGGTGGGGTATAAATAATAATAAAATTACTATTATTATTTATTATTTTTCTTCAGAAGAACTAGATGGTAATAAACCTCCTAAAGACAATAAATAATCTGTTTGGGGTTTTTTGGTGTTGGGGTGAGCTTTTTATTTACACATGTAGATGAGTTGCTTCACAAACTTCTCTTCTGGGTTCCATTTAGCAAGGATGCCAATATCCTGGCTTGTGATATTGAAAGACATGGCCGTGTGTGTGGGGAAAACTTCATTCTAGTCCCTGAATGTGACAACAAACGCTGATGCGTTTTTGTTCTTGGCAGGTTCGCACAGTGCCAGTGTGAAGTTGTGGAAGTGTGGAGAGGGATTCCGGAGGCTGGAGCCACTCTTTGAGATTCCCCTGGTGAGGAAATTGGGGGCATGGAGGAGGATGGTGTTCTTTTCATCAGTAGCGTTCCATTGTAAATCACAGCACACAGTGTTGTTGATAGGCTGAAAGTGAACCAGGGGACTTCTTTGCACAGAGCTCACCTTGACCATGAATTCTGATCATGGCCCCAGCCTTTCTCTTAGCTCCTCCCCTTGCAATATGCAGATAACTATTCTAATGCCCCTGGCCCTGTTGCTGCAGGGATGATGGAGATCATGTGTATTAAACACTTTGAAGGCTGTAAGTTAATAAATTAGTAAATGCTTACTAATTGGGGGCAGTTGAGTGGTAGATAAACTAACCATTGTGTTCAGTGGTATATCCTGCTGAGTAGTCATGTGAGCTTACTTTGATATAGAAAACCCGCCCAGTTTCCAGCAGCTCCAAACTGCACTATGTATAGCAGAATGACCTCTTTAAAGTTTCCAAAACAGCATTCCCTTTCTTCTGATAGTGTTCTGGCACAGAGGCGTCAGAAGGAGAGCTGCTAGCTCAGAACTTAAAAGAGTTAAGGAATCCTTTGAAGCAGTTGCCATGTTTGCTACTGTACGGAAAACTTTTAGGTTGGCCATAAGGAATAGTAAAATACTGGCTTAAACTACAGAAAGGGGGCAAGAAGGTTGGGACGTCCTGGAAAGCATGAGTGAAAAATAAAATAAAATGGCAGTAGGACTGTGATATAATGATCAAGACCCTATGCCAGCTTGGAATATACAGAGCACTTTCAAAACATCTCAGACTTTCCATAATTCTGGTGTGCTGGTGGCTCATTTGCACATTTTGGATGGAGGTGAAATGGAAACTGTCTGCCATGTCAGCATATCAAAGGGAGGCTTCTAGAGCAATCGTATCACTTTGTTATATCAGTAAATAAGATTCATGTAGCCTGGAATCTGAAGTTTATACCTCTGGGTGTGTTTCTTTCTCAGGTTGGCTTTGTTAATAGCTTGAAGTTCTCGAATTCTGGAAACTTCCTAGTTGCTGGAATTGGACAAGAACACAGGTATCCCGTACTCCATTCCTGTTTTATTACAATGTGTGCATGATTCTGAATTGCGTTCTCCATCATCTTTAAAATAGATGTAAATAGCTTTCTGTCACAGTGGGTCCCCACTACAAACTATCTTGAGGATCTCAGTTTCAAGATGAGATTAGAACTGCCTTGCAGAATTCTTAAATCTCTCATGGAGTTTGGTAGTACTCCTGAAAATTTAACGGTCATAACTTTTTCTGGATGTTTCTGGATGAAACATCTGCTCTGGATCCATTCCAGTCCGGCTTCCGCGCTGGTCATGGGACCGAGACGGCTCTGGTTGCCCTAACAGATGATCTTCGTAGACAGCTGGATTGAGGCGGGTCGGGGCTGCTGATTCTTCTAGATCTGTCAGCAGCTTTCGACATGGTCGATCACGAACTCCTGGACCACCGCCTTGCCGACATGGGGATCCAGGGCACAGTCCTTCAATGGCTGCGCTCGTTTCTCTCTGGTTGGGGACAGGGGGTGGCGCTTGGGGGGGAATTGTCATCACGCCACTCCTTGGTGTGTGGAGTACTTCAGGGTGCGATACTCTCCCCGATTCTTTTCAACATCTTTATGCGCCCCCTCGCTCAGCTTGTCCGGAGTTTTGGGCTGGGTTGCCATCAGTATGCTGATGACACCCAACTCTATCTGTTGATGGATGGCCATCTTGACTCGGCCCCAGACACACTGACTAGATGTTTGGAAGCTGTGGCTGGATGGTTACGTGGGAGCCGGTTGAAGCTGAAGACAGAGGTCCTGTGGCTGGGACGGGACGATATGGGATTGGGGGGGCAACTCCCATCTCTTGCGGGGGCGCAATTAGTGCCAGCACCGTCCGTTAAGAGTTTGGGTGTAATCTTCAACACCTCCCTTTCCATGGAGGCGCAGATTGCAGCTATAACAAAGGCGGCATTTTTTCCATCTCCTCCAAGCTAAGCAGTTGGCTCCTTACCTCTCTCGCCCTGACCTAGCCACTGTGATCCACGCAACGGTCACCTCCAGACTGGATTATTGTAACTCGCTCTACGTGGGGCTGCCCTTGAGACTGACCCAGAAACTCCAGCGGGTGCAGAATGCTGCAGCGAGACTCCTTACGGGGTCCTCACTGCGAGATCACATTCACCTGGTGCTATACCAGCTGCACTGGCTCCCGGTGGAGTACAGGATCAGGTTTAAGGTGCTGGTTTTAACCTTTAAAGCCCTATACGGCCTAGGACCCTTGTACCTACGGGACCGCCTCTCCTGGTATGTCCCACAGAGAAACTTACGGTCTTCAAATAAAAACATATTGAATGTCCCAGGCCACAGAGAGGTTAGGCTGGCCTCAACTACAGCCAGGGCTTTTTCGGCTGTGGCTCCGATCTGGTGGAACACTCCGTCACAAGAGACTAGGGCCCTGCGGGACTTGACATCTTTCCGCAGGGCCTGCAAGACAGAGTTGTTCCACCAGGCCTTTGGCCAGGGCACAGCCTGACTCCCTCCTTTGGCAATCTTCATGGAGCTCTGGCCCAATGGTTGACATTGGTTTGATTTGAATTAATTTTATAATGAATGATTTTAGTGTGTTGTGTTGTGTTGTACTGTTGTACTGTTTTATTGTTGTTAGCCGCCCTGAGCCCGGCTTTGGCTGGGGAGGGCGGGATATAAATAAAACTTTATTATTATTATTATTATTATTATTATTATTATTATTATTATTAGCACTTCTGTGCCCCTAAAGAGATTTGTTCCATTTTCCATGAAAAATATGCCTTGCTTAGCACTCTCATGGGAGAAGTCTCTTAGTGTCTTTGCAATTCTTAGTGTTCTAGATTAAACTTTGGTTAAATCTAAGTTCCTCTGTTTTTAAGGCCAGGAGTGAGAAATATATGTCTCTGTCTTTTTCTTTTACTGATGATGGCTTCTTGCACCATATAGGGGTTGTGTAATGTTTACTTGATTGTTTAAAGTCAGATATACTTTATCACAGCACCTAAAAGGAGTGTATTAGTAGCAGATAAATTTATTTCACCTGGGTTTTATTGCAGATTGGGTCGCTGGTGGAGGATCAAAGAGGCCAAGAACAGCATCTGCATTATTCCGCTCAAGAAGACTATAGCAGGAAACTCACAGATACCTGATGAAGGCTCCTAATATTCTGTAACCTGTTTATTAAAGCCATATTTTGTGTTTGTAAAATGGTATTGGCCATCTTTTCATTATAGTTTCACTATTTTCCCCACAGGAATTGTGGATGAGGTTTTCAGAAGCAAGGGGGCTGTGGTTTCTGAAATAAAAGAGCAATCATCTGTTGTGGTCTGGAGGCCCCTTTAAAACAATTGTGTTCTACCTTTTTCTTGAAGAATCTGGAAAGTATGTGACATTCCCAGGCTGGTGCTAGCCAGACCCAGATATTTGGTAGCTTAAGACCATTATTTGGATATTTTACTCTGGCCACCAGGAGTCAGATTATATAGTCGACTACTGTTCATTTGGACTGGAAACAACTCTCTCAAGATATTAGGTAGCAAGATCTGCCCACAGCTTTTTAATCAGAGATTGACAGTGCAGTCCAATGCATGTTTGCTCAGAAGGAAGCCCACCTGAGTTACATCCCCACCCACCCCCACACCCCTCCCTGGAAATACAATTCCAGCCTAAACCTAGCAACTTACATTTGCAAAGGGTGTGTGTTTTCTTGTTCTTTCATTCTGCTTCCAGAAGCTTCTGGGCTTCTAGCTAAGAATTTTGTCTAATTTCAGATTTTGGCATTGCATGACTTGTGTAAAGTTCACATTCAGAATATTGAGTGCTAATTAGTTCTTTTGTTATGAATAATGGCACTTGAGCGTGTTTTCTCTCCAGCAGGGGAGGCAGTGGGAGAGAGATGCATTTGCAAAGGTTCTTGAAGTTGTGATAAGGGTTGCCTGAGTGAAAGCGGATTAGACAGCATGCTGCTTTGAGGGAGATCAGTTGCCCAACACTAGCAGCTTCACAAACCTTTTGCTCCATTCTGCTCCTGGAGCTTACAGCTGTGAGAGTCTAATGAGGGTGAATTGGCTGCTTTTGTGCTGCAAGTATGCTTATTTCTGTATTGGGTTAGGCCATGGGTAGGCAAACTAAGGCCCGGGGGCTAGATCCAGCCCAATTGCCTCCTAAATGTTATTTGTGGGGCATAGGAATTCACTATTCCCCCCTCCAAAAATATATATATAGTCCAGCCCCCCACAAGGTCTGAGGGACAGTGGACAGGCCCCCTGCTGAAAAAGTTTGCTGACCCCTGGGTTAGGCATTCACAAGCTAGCAGTTTTGTGTGTGGGTGAGCAGAGCCCACCTGTCTCTGGACAGAGTAAAATTACACCTTGCTCATAATCCCAATCAAGTCCAACATTTGCAGATGACAAGACTGACTTGCCACTGACATGATGCCGTCATTTAGCTAGAATCTGAGGGCAAGTAAGCAGTTGAGGCTTCTGTGGTGGGCTGAGTCAAAGTTGGCCTGCTTGTTTTTGCAACCTCGGCTATCCCAAGTACAAACAAGATGCTCTTGTCACACAAGGCTTCAATAATAAAAAAGCACTTTATTTACATAAATTACAAAAGTCACAAACTTTCCCACAAAAAAATCTACTTTAAACGTTTCCATTTTTTTTAAACAGTATGTATCACAATAACACTTGCATCTTTAGATAAAATTCACATTCTCCTTACCCCATCCCACATCAAACATTTTGTTGTTGCAACAGCCCTGTCTTCCTCCCCTGAGTGCCTTTACCTTTCACAGTTTCCGATACTAAAGGGATCCCTAACCTCTTATGGGCCTGTTTGCAAACTGATAGAAACTGCTGGGTACAGTATACACCAGGGGTGGCCAACTCCCAAGAGACTGCGATCTACTCAGAGTTAAAAACTGGCAGTGATCTACCCCCTTTTTTAGGGGTTCAGGTCAATGTTGTTGAGCTTTTTTTGAGGCAGGAGGAAAACCCTGTTTTTTTGGGGGGGGGGTGAAGAGCTAAAATTTTGAGCCTTTTGGGGTGGAGCCAAAGTTGTTGAGCTTCTTTGGGGGGAGCCAGTGATCTACTACAGACATCCAGTGTTCTACCAGTAGATTACGATCTACCTGTTGGACGTGCCTGGTATACACTGTAATCTCTTCACAGACTGCTTCTTACAAGCTTAATTTCAGCAAAGGAAGGGGACCCTTTGTGTGCTGGGAAAAGCCTCATCATGTTGGTGATTCTTGTGGTAAAAATAAAACAATAACCCGAAAAGGTGAACCTTCTATCATTTTGGTCAAAATGTTTCCCTTTCATCTAATGTTTTCTTCCTGAGGTGGCAAAAAAGTAAATAGTATGCAACAAATAAGAGAAGAAGTTCTGAATGGTGGCTGTAATTCTTACAGGAAGAACAATGTGGGCAGTTAAAGAGCTTAGTCTATCTGGGAATTTGATTGCCACATGCTTGTACTCTCCTTTTGCTTGCTTTTTGGATAGTACTGAAACAAATAGCAGGGAGAACCAGGTTCATATCCACACTCAGCCATGGAGCTCTCTAGGCGATCCTGGACCAGCCAATGTTTTTACCTCACAGGCCGATTGCGAGGATAAAAATGGGGAAGAAGGAAGCCCATGTGTACCTCCTGGCAATGCTTAGGAAAATGATGGGATAATAATACAATAAAGAAGCAAGTGTAGCAGTCTGCCTGAAAACAGCTTGTGGTTCTCCAGCGATGCTTTCTGCATGACGCTTCCTTTCTTCTACTATTGTTCTTTGCCACGAAGTGCATTCTTACATGTACATTAATAATACAGTTTGAAAATCTTACAATGCACAGACCACTGTTTTAAGACCTTTGAGAGTAGACCAGATCCGATTTTGGCATGTCTTCCCCCTTTATCCAAAGTGGCTTACAGCAATAGACTTCTGTGAATTTCAGATGTAAGACTCACTGCTTAAATAACAACAGTAGAAAGGGTTAGAAGAGAGGAAGAGATAGAAGAACCCTACGGGTATATTCTGGAATCTCCAAGCAATGTAGCGCGGGTAGCGCTGTGGGTTAAACCACAGAGCCTAGGACTTGCTGATCAGAAGGTCGGCAGTTCGAATCCCCGCGACAGGGTGAGCTCCAGTTGCTTGGTCCCTGCTTCTGCCAACCTAGCAGTTTGAAAGCACGTCAAACTGCAAGTAGATAAATAGGTACCGCTCTGGCAGGAAGGTAAACGGCGTTTCCGTGCACTGCTCTGGTTCGCCAGAAGCGGCTTAGTCATGCTGGCCACATGACCCAGAAGCTGTACGCTGGCTCCCTCTGCCAATAAAGCGAGATGAGCGCCGCAGCCCCACAGTCGGCCACGACTGGACCTAATGGTCAGGGGTCCCTTTACCTTTACCTTACTTGAGACAAATGTTTCCTGATAAGGCCAGATTGCCTCTGCCAAGTACTAGTGTAGAGCAGTGTTTCACAATGTGCTCCTCCAGATGTTGTTGGACTCCACCTCCTATCGCCCCCTGATCATTGGCCATTCTGGTTGGGCCTGATGGGTGCTGATGAGTCCAGCAACATTTGGAAGGGTAGTTTCAAGTATTTGAGCAGGGCTTCCACATTTTTTGGTGGGAAGGAGGCGTTTCTATTTATAGGCCCCTATTGAGTCTCGTAAACCGTAGTCTCATGTCCAAAATGTAGGGAAAGATTTCCCTTGCATGCAGTAGAGTATCCGCTCAGCATTTGCTGCAGGTCTCAGGTTCTAGGTAGGGACTGGGAACAACCCTGAGAACCACTACCACTCAACATAGGCAATGCTGAGCTAGATGAAGCAATGGTCTGATTCAGTATAAGGCAACTTCCTATATTCCTATTGGTTTAGAATAATAATTTCTAGGCCATCCATTTTCTGGTTCAGAATTTTGCACACAGATTCAGCCCCAGAAAGTTACTACAATGAGATGTTAAAAAGCAGACCTGATCGATTAAAGAGATATTCATGCAACCCCCGCCCCCTTTTCAGGAGGGAATGAGGAAATATCTTTCTTCATCTTGCTGCAACAAACAGGGCTATGACATGTAGTGGCACCTTACAACATTTCACACCTGTTGTCAATATGGATGGCACAGGCGAGGCAGGTCCACGGTATAGTGTAGGTGCCTCAAATCATCACTTGCGGAAGAAATCTAGTATAGACATGCCATAGGTCTACTGCTTTATTTTTTTAAAAATAGTGGCACTGACACAACATTTTAAATGGTATTCTATTAATTATGTCTTGCCTATAAAAAAAACAAAACACTTCTACTGCGACTCATTAGAATACATTGCCTGGTTCAAACATTTACATGAATACATAGGAAATACTGCAATTTGCAAATACCTCATAAACACCCAGTTCCCTGTTTTCAGTGTCTTCACAAGTTCGAATAATGTAGTTGCCATTCTACTGATGGCTCCCAGCATGGTAAAGTAACAGAGTGATTTTTAGCTCTGCCTTTGAGTCAGTTTCACAACTATGAACTGGGATTCCAAACAGTATATTTAAAAAAAAAAATACTCCTATCATTTGAAATGTTGATCTTCCTGGGATTGTGAGGTAGCTCCACCTTCCCCCAAAGCTGTAGGGAGAATTGTTCATTCCAGAGGCAAGAGTGAGGCCTGCTGCCTGTGTACAGGGGGAAAACATTGTCCTCCAAGCTTCTTGATTTGTACCAGCTTTGGAAGCTGTATAGAATGATTCTGTATAGTTTTGTTACGAATGGAATTGCTTTAGAGAAGTAAAATTGTGCTTCTGACTTGTTTCATTTTAGCTTCCCTTTATTGTGAACAACTAAGGCCTTGAAGTGTTCCCCGTATGCCATCCATTTCCTAAGCTATAAAATTTGTCCAGGGGAGGGGGAAGCAAAGATCTGCCATAGCAATTGCATTGTATCTCATCTTAAGAGAGAATTACATGGGTGATTTCATTTCCCTCAGCTGCTAGGAATTCAATCGGCTCACAAAGAGAAACTTCAGCCCAAGTGATTGTCGAGCATCATAGATAAACAGAGGCGTATAACCAAGACTTCACAAAGTTTGGTACTGCTTGATAGACAACTTCACCCATAAGTGAGAAGTGGCAGGTGGGGAGAGGCGATGGTTCGGCAGAGCTCCGCTAGTGGCTAAGTGCATCATTTTGCAAAGCTGGAAGGCTTAGACCAGTACTGAGCTTTGGATATGAGACCTACTGGTCCTAAGCATACATATGGAGTGTGTTTTTTGATTCCTAGGAAGAGGTTACATTCCACAGTATATAGTAGGCGTTTCTGGATTTGTGTACGGAATAAAATATAAAGGAATCAAAGTAATTAATGTTGCGTTGATGAGTTCAGTGCAGAGTTGGGAACCTTTTTGTAAATTACTATTTTGCATTTTAGTGGTCCTTGATTAAGACTCCTCATGTATGTCTCAATCGATGTCAATCTACAAACCAGGTTCACTGTGTGAATTGACATTAAAGAAATGGAGGGAGGGTTACTGTTGGTTATATTCTGAAAAACTTGAGAAACTTAATAGCACAACGGAAGTATCATTTGCCTTATTAGCTAACAAAAATGGATGGGACTCGGGACTCAATGTTCTAACGTAAACCCCGTGGTATTCAAAACCAGGCATGTTTGTTGTAAAAAAGTGAAAGATGCGTGCCAAAGTTGCTGCCAGAAGTGGGGTCTCTGACCCTTTAAGGACCACCACCAGAACCTTGGTTTTCACGGAGAAGAAGCCCTGACTAGCTCAGAAATGGGAAGTTGTCTCCTTTCATGAACAAAAGAGGGCTGGTAAGGCCCATTGGCAGTGGTGCAGAGGATTCTTAAATCATGCCCCGCTTGTTCACCGTGCCTCCAGTTTTATCCTGACAGGCTTAGGGAGTCCTCCCAGGCCAAAGGTCCTTCAAAAGCTGGAGTCAGCCTTCAAGTGAATCTCCCCCTCCCCATTTACTTTCCTTTTCTAGAAGTCATGCATGTAGCACTTTTTTCATCCTAATTTTTTAGAGGAGAGGAGAGTTTACACTGCAACTACAGAGTACATAGAAAAAAGAAGTCCATATTTGCAGGGGGCAGTCAAATTTTCCCCTTTTCGCTGTTGGGATGTGCTTCTTGTAAGTAATCATATGAGAGATGACTGTCTTGGTTTTTGACTCAAGGTCACATTTTTGCCAAACAACTTCCCCTGTGATAGTCTGCTGGGGAATATTTGCTTCAAATCAGCATCGTTTAGAATAAGTAGAAGATCTCTCTGTTGATGACAATGAGATTCAGAAAGGTTTCTGGAACAGCACAAAATGGCCTGGTGCCCTGGTTATACTGTGAAATCTGTCTATATTGACTGTACAATTTACTATGACTGCTTATAACAGGTTACTGTTAAGCGTAGCTAATAACTGACAATGTTATTCAGCACCATATATACTTTGGCCTGAAGTGCTTTCCATTGAAATCTTCCAGTGCTATTTGTAAAGCAAGAGTCTAGGTAATTATGAGCCACTTTCAAGAGCTGTATGACTGGTATTGACAAAGGGAATTTTCCTTCCAGTCTATTCAAGAATATGAGCAATTGTCTATCATACTCCTTATAACACTGAGCAGTTTGGTTACTCCAGTGGCCTAGGCTTGAAGGATAGAACTAAGATGATAAGAAGAGCCTGCTAGATTAGGCCAATGGCCCATATAGCCCAGCATCCTGCTCTCATAACCAACCAGATGCCTATGGGAAGCCCACAAGCAGCACATGAATGCCACAGTGCTCTGCCCTCCTGCAACTCTCATCAACAGGTATTCAGAGGCATTTCTCTTTCTAGGTCAAGAGCAGCCTTGTACCAGCTTGGTACCCTCCAAGTTTTGGACGTTCCTAGTCATTTGCCAGATGCTTGTGAATGATGAGCACTGGAGTCCAGAACATCTGAAAGGTACTTGGTTGGGAAAGGCTGCTCTTGACCAGGGCCCTAATATTCTCCAAGTGATCTAGGAAAAAATATGGAGAAACTTGACTCTGGGGACATGCTGGCAAAATGGTGTCTCTCCATTTAGATTCATATAAATAAATCACCTTCCTACACTTCCCATGGCCTTATCACTTGCTGCTTTTTTCGTGAATTCTCATTGCAAGGGAGTCATGGGCAACTTACAACTGCCAGGAGCAGCTCCTCTATGCCTTCCACATGTGCTGTATCAGGACGATTTTGGGCATCACATGGCACAACAGGCTCTCAAACAAAGATGTGCTCTTCCAAGCCCACATTCCCAGCAGGTTTGCACTTCTGTCTTTCGTGACATCTATGCTGGCTTAGCCATGTCCGCAGAATGGAAGCTGGCTCTAGGCACCAGGCCTGTTGGCAGACCAACTCTGCTTTACAAAACTGTCTGCAAATGTGACATAAAGGCTGGCAACATTAACCCCGCCATGTGGGAATCCCTTGCAGACGACCGCAGTGCCTGGAGACACTTGGGATGTGTATCCATAGCAGTGACCAGAGGAGGAATGACTGCTGGGAGGAGAGCAGAGAAAAGAAATTCCATGTTGCACCTGTGGCAGCACAGCTGGACACCTTCACCTGCCCCAGCTGCAACAAAACATGTCTCTCCCATGTCGGTCTCTACAGCCACAGCAGCTGCTGTAACCTTCTAACAGTTTGACTTCACCCACAAAGGTGCACTCCTCCATTGTCTCCTGAGACAGATGGATGCCAACCAAGGGATAATACTGGACTCATCTGGGATGTGTGTTTTCTTTGTCTCATCTTGTTTCGTTCTGCAGAGCGGCATATAAGATATAACTCACTATTCTGTTAAAAACCAGGTGTGTGGTTCTATTTCTCTTCTCAGATATTATCACAGGAGCATTTTGTCAATTCATTTCAGGAAGCTTCTCACAGAGATTATACTTGCAAACAGCTGGTAGACATATTACAAATATATGTATGTTTGGAGTCATTGCAAGTATCAGTGTGTGCCACCAGGTTTTTAAATCGTGAGGAGATTCTATCCCATCTTTTCAATCCATAGCACCACGGATTCCTTGGTATTCTTCAGAGTTTTAATACTGATCCTCCCTCTTAACAGCAGCAGTATTGTATACGTTGAGGAACAGTTTGAGGGAATGCAGTTTGTTATAAACAACAACAACAACCAACAGCTTCACCGTTCCTTTTCAAGTGTAGACAAGATAAAGGAATATATGTGGATTCTTCATTGTCACCCCAGTAATCTGATTGGGAAGCAGTCTTGTATCCATATCATGAGGGCAACATCATGGGCCTCTTCACAGATACATTCTCAACTGTGCCAAAATTTCCTTGCATCTCTAAACTGGTGCTGGACTTTGGGGGTAAAGGATAATCTCTGTTCTCTTGATTTTTCCTTGGAAAAACTTGTTCAATGGATAGGCATGGGGAACAGGGTTTCTCTCTCTCTTTTTAGGAAACAAGAGGCCCAGTGGGAAAGAAGAAGGCATGTGTTCATAGGGAGCGAGCACAGAGGCAACATACGGTAACTGACAGAGAACACAGAGGCATTCACAAGGATGATGTTGTGGAGTCCACCACTTCACGGCCATTACACACTGTTGGCACAAATTGAGAAGATGACCCTGTGGGGCAGAGAACAGAAGGAGGTTTCAATGAATAGCAGTTTTTAACAATCCTGCACTTACCCAAACACTACCATCTGCAAACCACCACTCCATCTCACCTGGTGGTGCTGAGTTCCCATGCATCATAGCTGAGCTGCCAATCTTCTATTTTCAGCCATGTCAAATTCTAGCACATCAGCTCTAACACAATCATTCTGCATCAATACATTTCATTGATATAAACACTGAGTTGATTTGTTTAGAGCTTTTATTTATATACCATGCAATATGCACAGCTCTGTCTTCATCCTTACAAGATAGGTAAAGGACCCCTGGATGGTTAAGCCCAGTCAAAGGCAAGTAAGGGGTGCAGCACTCATCTCACTTTTCAGGATGAGGGAGCTGCGTTTGTCCGCAGGCAGCTTTTTGGGTCATGTGACCAGCATGACTAAACAGCTTCTGGTGCAACAGAACACCGTGATGTAAGCCAGAGTATGCACACTGCCTGTGGGCTTCTCAGGGCACTGATTGGGCACTGCTGGAGAAAGGAAGCCATCCAATGGTCAGGGATAATGGGAGTTTCCCTCAGATCTGATACAGCAAAGCGCTTCTTATATGAAAATCCTGATCACATGTTGTCTCTGTCCAAATGGACACAAGTAGCAAGGGAATGCAAGATGCTGTTTGTCACCACATTTTCTTCTAACATACTGCCACTGAGAAGTAGCAGATCTAGCAATAACACACCCTTTTGTTAGGACTTGGACACAGCTAAGAAAAATTATTATTAGGAGTGTTTTATTCTTCCCAGAGGAGGGGATTCGCCACACTCTATGGCCTGTTTTGGATTATCATTCTAGGCTTCTGGAAACCATTGCCTTAGGAACCCAACAATGGGTGCCAGGATCAAGTCGTCTTCCCTTCCTCTCACATGCCAACCTTGGTGTGGAGGTTTTGGCTTGTTTTAAGCTGGAGTTCCTCATCACATCTGAACCAGGAAACCAGGAAAACAAGCCAAAGCCAACCCGGTTTGCTGCTTTTGAAACCGAGTTGTAATGGCTGAACTGCAAGCCCCGTGACATTTCTACCCAAGTGTACCTTTACAGGGGAACAGGGAATAAATGGTCTGTGTCATTAATAGAAATGTGTTCTTGGCTTATCTATACTGTTTGCTTACTGCAAGGTATAACATGCACAATACTGATTAGCAAAACCAAGCTGTCTTTGTAGCCATGTGCTTGACCATTAACACACACAATTTTATACCTGTGTCAAAATCAGTACCCTTAGATTTGTACGTTTCACTCCCTCAGATTATTTTGTTTGTCACCAGGTGTTTCCAGATTAGGGTGGGAGGAGCTTAATTTGCAAATGGATAGTTGGCAATAGGTTTGTTCATTTGCTTGTCAGATTTTCACTGGAAAGGGTAGATCCAGATTAAATGGTGTGGGGGTGGGCATGTGGGCAATTCAACAAACTTGCATGCATAGGAGGAGCTCCAATCCTACAATAAAGACCCATCTCGAAGCACCCACCTTCATGGATGAATTACTGTGTTAGACTCTCATGGAAAATGGTGTATTTGCATAGAAGCAGTGGATCAGCTGCAGAACATAGTAGACTTGGAACAGACAAGGTGGAGTATTTCATCACAAAACACAACTGGGGGTGTTATTCATTTTTATTCTTATGCTATGTATTTTATGTTTTTATGTTGTAAACTACCCTGTGATATCTGGATGAAAGGCAGTATATAAATTTAATAAATAAAAAATAGCTTATAAAATTTATCACCACTGTGTGGCTATGGGAAGTAGCTTAGATGTTGTACATAAGGATTAAACAAATTCATGAATCCATCAATCGCTATTAGGCCCTGATGAGCCATTCAGAATGCAGAGAACAGTACCTAGGGGAATCCTATGTTACTCACCATGCGAGTGGCTGGAGCTTGCAGCAGTCACACTAAAACGGTTGGTGGAAACACGATGGCTGGCGACATTCTTCTGGGGCTGGAAGAGGATGATATGTAACTTGGGAGTAAAGAGGCAACCAAGGACCACTGTGCCACTGAGGCTAACAGAGATGCACATGGTGGTGGTCTGGACCTGTGTAGAGGAAAAGGAAGAAAGAAAAACAGGGCATCAATCTGTACGGTCAGAAAAGTAAGTGTGGTGTTTACATGTGTCCCTACTTATGTACCCCCGCATATAGGAACTACCCAAGTACACACTTCCAACTGGCAGAGAAATAGGCAAGTACCATTTGATTCTAGACTAGAAGAAGCATGATCTTCACTCAATAAATATTCACAAATTGTATAAGCCTATGCAATACACTCTGAGGAGTTCTTCATTCTCTCCTACAACCTCCATTCTCTTGTTTTCCTAAGGGTATGTGCATTTCTGAAGGTTTCTTTCAACGTTTGGCTTCTTTGGCATGTGGGCAAAAGTCATACATTACGAATCCAACATATTCACAGTGCTGGATGCTTAACTTTAAAAAAGGACATGGGGGAAATTAAAAGGGCAACCCAATCACATTCTTGAAAATAAAACAAATGAAAACAAATGAAAAAAGTTGTTTCTGCCTAGGACTGGACATGTATTGGGTCCCTTGTCAGCAGTCCTGTGCAGCACCTTCAAGACTAACTGATTTAAGCTGCTGTCTTATAGGTGCTTACCAGGTGATGGAGCAAACCCCATGAAATTCAGTCGGGCTAACTTCTGAGTAAAAATGTGTAGGAGTGTACAGTTATAAAACTACGCTTGTCCATATAAAGTTAAAGGTATAGGTACCCCTGACCATTAGGTCCTGTCGCGGACGACTCTCGGGTTGCGCGCTCATCTCACTCTATAGTCCAAGGGAGCCGGCATTTGTCCACAGACAGTTTTTCTGGGTCATGTGGCCAGCATGACTAAGCCGCTACTGGCGAACCAGAGCAGTTCACGAAATCGCCGTTTACCTTCCCACCAGAGTGGTACCTATTCATCTACTTGCACTTGACGTGCTTTTGAATTGCTAGGTTGGCAGGAGCTGGGACCGAACAACGGGAGCTCACCCTGTCGCAGGGATTCGAACTGCCAACCTTCCGATCGGCAAGCCCTAGGTTCTGTGGTTTAGACCACAGCGCCACCCGAGTCTCCCATATAAGGTTATGTCACAGTAAACAAGTTAGTTAGTTGTCAGTGTAGCCTGAAGGAATAGGAGTGCAGCCCATGAAATCCTGAAACATATCCTTCAGGAATGCAATCCGATAGATCAGAATTAAACCTCATTGAATTAAGTGGAAGTCATGTATTAGTATATATCTGATGGTTTCAGCTGTAGGTTTATGTCCCTGCATATATTTTAAGTCTTGCTCTCTCATTTCTTATTGTTGTTCTCACCACTTATCTGTCTGTATCTTATCACAAATATGTGGACAACCAGCTTTATCATTTCTTCCTGTGAATGTAGGAGTCACATGCCACCCTTGGTCTGGCTCAATTTAGTTTTTATGTTTGTGTCATGAAGTTCTATTTTGTTATTTGGGTTACATGGATATTTATTTTATTTTATTTTTTAAATCAACTCTAAAATGTATTACTATAGCTCCCTTGTTGCAATCTAGTTCTACATACACTAACTCATTGGCTTCCATAAGGTGCGGAAGAAGTTGAAATTCCCTGCCTTTGGATTGCTAAGAAACAAGCATGCTATCTTCCGATAAAATTAATATACTTCTGCAGTTTTTGCACTCAGTACATTCCTCATACTGATGGAAGACAACTCCCATGGCATATAAATGGAGTTAATATAACAAATGAGAAATATGAATTGAAAGTTATTATCACAAAGACTCAGGAACTGTCAAGAGATTCAGCTGATTTCATGAACATATACATATATATTTCTTAAAGAAAACGAATCCTTCAACAGATTAAGGAATTACCAAGATGAGTGTGTAGAAAGAGAAAGCAAGTCTCTGACAAAAAGCTAATAATGTCAACTACCAGTTGGTTCCTCTCCTGAGACACATCAACACACTCTCTAAAGTCACAGGAGCATGTGATTTTCCAATCACAGGATGACATCTACTATTATTCCCTGATGCTTCCAGCAATAGCAATTGTCCTATAATTTTTGTGGTTCCTTAGATGGTGGCTTTTCACAACTTAAGCTTGTGGAGGGCATTGGGGGTGACTATTGTAGAGTTTTCATAAGCATAAATGCAGTTATCATACTAACATAGCAATAGGTTGCTGATGTCATGTCATGGGCCTGAATATATATATATATATATATATATATATATATATATATATATATAAACACTTATTGAAAACTCCCTAGGGCTTCTAGCCTTGGATGATTTGCACAGCAGAGTCAGTAATTAAATCAACAGAGTCCCTGCCTTGACCTCCAGCTCCACTGAGGACTACTCAATGGCTGAGTTCGCATCAAGCATCTATAGATATAGATAATCAGTATCTTATCTTTAACATATGCACCTGAGGAATTGTTCTATGTAACTCAACATTCTCATCTATAGTAGCTGATGCAGCTGGAAGAGGGGCCACAGCATCTGGTTTACATGCTGAAGGACTCAGGTTCAATCCCTGATGGCTCCAGGTAGGGCTAGGATTGTCCCATGTGAAATACCAGAGAGCTGCTGAGTCGAGTTCTGCTCACAGAATTCTGCCACAAGAGTTGGGGAAGAAGGGGGATTTTCACTGTCTACAGGGCTCCTTTGCCAACGGGTCAGATTTATGCATTTATTTGAGCAGCAGCTAGGAGAACTCTACTCTTGGGTAGAAAAATACGGACAGATTGTTTCAAACACGTGCTCTAAGCTTGGAGCAAAGCTTAAAACACCCTTTCTTGTAGATTACATGACAATAAGAGAGAGGAAACAGAAAGAGAAGACTTCACTTCCTCCCTAGTTGGAGGAAAGGGGACATATCCTAGCTGAATCTATGAATCTAACTCTGTGATCTTAACCCCTTCATGCACTAACTAGCACTCATGCATAGTTACGTTTGACTGCAATTTCCCACAATGAGAACAGTGAAGACAAAGGAACAATCTCCCTAACAAAACAAATGGATGTGCCAACGGAGAAAGCGTCACACCCCATATTCTGTGTACCCCCTATTTCCCCCAGGAAAGTAGCTACGGGGTAAGTACGTTGTTTCTTTAAGATTTGCTGAGTATACATAATTGATAGAGTGACTGGGGCAACCCAGATAGATGGGCGGGGCAGTAATAATAATAATAATAATAATAATAATAAATGTCTTAGCTGAGATTGACTCAGTTATCTGGCAAAGGAGTAGAAGCATACTTTTTAGTGATAGCTCCCCAGAGCACAGCACATGTTAGCTTTACAAGTTAATAAATATTACTACTTTTCTAAAAAATAGTTAATTCTGTTTTAGGAAAACAACACCGTACTAATTTAAATGCATATTTGCCATTCCCAGCTTGTGCAAAGCAAATACTTCTTTGCATTTGACTATCTGGTAACTTAATACAAGATGTAAAGTAAGAAGCAGCCCTTAATCCCTCCACAAGTCCAGGGGTAGTTTTAATTGTACAGTTGCTATGAAACCACTCTTACAAGTTTCTATGAAAGTGGGTTTGACATGTCATTGATTTGACCCTCTAGCAAAACTCTGATGAAACATTTCCTCTTGCTTTGGAGCCTTCTGAGACCAGGTATTTGGCAGGCTTAGTGAAATTTTCATTCTAATTTCCTGCCTGTGGGAAGTCCTTTAGTCTGACCCCACCTGGGAAGATGAGAGAAATGCTGTTTTCCTCTGTCACCACCTCAAGCTCAGGAAGTGGAGACCCAGCAATGCAATATCAAGACAGTCAGTCTCTTGCCACTACTAGGTCTTAGCAGTTTGCTGGACTAGTAGGGTTAAAACTTTACAACAAGCTTCCTGGGCTGCAAATGTACAACATTCAAGTTCCGGCTCAAACCTTGCAAACAGTTGTTGCACACCTAATTTCTCCTGTGAATTTATTTGTTGATTAATATGGGATACATCCTTGGTCTCACTATTACATGACTGGATCCCCTCATCTAATTGTGACTTGAAGCTATTTTTATTGATCATAGCTTAGTCATTATTTATTGTAATTGTTAAGAGTGAATTTCTGTTTAATTATTATTTGCTGGTGTCTTGAGAGTTAATTGCATTGTGTACTATTATATTATAATAGATTATTGAATATTAGTTTATTTGATATAAGATGATTATTTTAAAGTTATGTTTTATTATGATGTTTTGGATCAGATTATTATAAGGTGTATGTTGTTGTTGTTGTTGCTGCTGCTGATGTAAACTGCCTTGTGCATAGAAATATAGAAAGGCGGTATACAAATTAAAAGTGGAATACAGAAGTCTCTTACCCCTCCACCCCAATTTGCCTTTTGACTTGCAATTATATGCACTGAATGACCCATGTCGTTCTCCCAGATGAGTCTACCTCACAGGGCTGTTGTGAGGATAAAATGGGGAGGCTGAGAACCATGCATGCCGCGTTGAGTTCCTTGCAGAAAAGATGGGATGAACATACTGTAAATGTTTTTTTTTAAAAAATTGCTGCCTTGTCTTATTAAACACCTTTGTGTTTAGAAACTTCTCCTTGAGTTCGTCTAGTTTCAGAGTTTGGGATGGATATTGGAACAACATACATATTGTGCAAAGTGTTGATGAAACAGGGGTCCTACATTATTTAGAGATGGTCAAACGTGCAGCACAACAGAGAGGGGTCCAAAGTGGGACAGCTAATGGCAGTCTTAGAGTATACATCCAAGCTTTTACTGGGCCAGCCCTACCATTAGGCTGCGTGAGATGCAACCTCAGGCAGATTTGAGGTGTCATGAAAGCACAGAAGATGGTTATTTAATTTATTGTTGCATTCTTACTGCCATGGATTGGGAGGAGGGACTTTTGCCTCCAGGGATGTTCTGCCTTGGGTACCACAGGAACTTCCCAGCCTTGGGCTTTCTTCACATTGACTTTGATGGGGAGGGGGCATTCGCTGCTCTGCCTCAGGCAGCAAAATGTCTTGCACCAGCCCTGAGCATGCTTGGGTGCTATGCTGGGTTCTAATAAGCAGTTGGGGAGAGATGTGCAGGGAGATGGAGGACAGCAGCGATGTTTTATAAAAGCTTTTATAGTTTTGTACTAGTTTCTAAAATAATTCTGGGAGTCGAGGGCACAGAGGACCCTGTCACTCAGCACTTCAGAAGGTAGCTGCATAGCAGGATTTTTCCATTAGCCTAATCAAATTACAAACTCAAGTTCCCACATTTCATGCAGGCAAGGTCCCTGCTTCCGGGTGGCTTTAATGGAGCTGTGCTATTCAGCACCCATTAATAGCACACAGGTACTCTTTACAGAAATCAGAAAGCTCTAATAAGGTGCCTTTTGGGCCAAGTTTCTTACAGGCATCGTTCCAAAGTTTCTCACAGCATCATATTAACAAGCTCCCTGAAGACTCTGCAAGCTTCTCAGAAATGCCAAGTGCATTTAACCAAAGACCTTATGGAACAGGTGCCTGCTACCAGTGCCAGATTTTAGTATCTATCCCTATACCAGTGACCCACCTCTACAGAAGATGGAACCCAGCTTAAATTGGGATGTTGCCATAGGATGGGTTAAACCAGAAGTGGGCAATAGGTACATTTCAAGCTAGTGGTGGATCTGTGGGTTAGCTCAGTTCTGATACTGAAAGTGGAAACAAATTCATGGTCTGAGCCATGTGCTCAGAGCACCCTGTTCCTTAATGATCAGAATTAATTATCTTAATTCCACCACCATGCATCTCTATTTTGCATGCAACTTCAGCTGGTGAACCTTGAAGCTGCAGGAAAAGAATAAAGTCAATCCCAGAAGCCTGCCTGCCCATCCCTGGGTTAAACTGCCAACACCTTTGAAGGGGCTTCATGATGGAGGTTTGTTTGAATGTTGGGTGTATTAATCTAGTGTTCCCAATACCCACCAGTCAAGCAGACTAGCAAGACCCGTGACTTTGGCAATAGTCCAAAGGAGTGACTATCACAACAAATTCCTGCACCTCTTTTTCAGATACCTCATCTTTTCCAGTGAAATTGCCCTAAAATAAAACCAGCTGGGGGAAGCTGCAAGGAAGCGTTAACCTAACTCCCTGCCCAACAAGTAGATCAAACACCACAATCCCTATTTTATGAAGGATGATGTCCCCCAAGGCCACAACAGAGATTGCTTAGCTTTCATATCCAGAAGATTAAAAAAAACACAGAACCATATTATAATTATTAAAGATTATTGCACTATTAACAATTAAAACTGTTTTCTGCTTTGGAACTCACAGATATTGAAAACGAACCTCTGTATGGTCTGCATAGCACATTGATGGCCACTGGGGGCTGCTGTTTCTCTAGCGAAACACACCAAAGGCAGGGCTGCACTAAGGCCCAGGGAGACTGATGCAGTGGGAATGGAGAGTTGGAAATATTGTACTCATTTTAAAAATTACCTTAAGGTCCAGAAAGTAATTATTTCCTCGTCCCTAATTACCCAGTTGCAGATAATCATTGATGTTCATTGCTAGCAATGCACATTCTTCTACGATTCTTGAAAAATTATGCAACTTGCTATTTTTGACACAATCTGTTGAGTTTTCTTTAAGCAACTGCACATTTGTGGGGGTGGAATGGGCCCCACAGTCCCACATAATAGCTGAATTGCTGTGTCTTCATTACAACAGTAGCATGCTTACAAACATTCAGTTCTTTTCAACACAAGTCACCTCTAAGTGCATTGGCCAAATCTCTGGCAATTCTCCAACGTGTGTCCAGATTCCAATTGCCTCCAATATTTTCTGATCAAGTTTTTTTCAGAGATATGGTGAGCTGGGATCAGGATATGAAATGGAATACTCAGAAATTCAACACAACCAGATCACTGAAAATGGCAGCTATCCCTCACTGAAGAATTATTATGTAAACTGATTCTCTCTAAATTGCTTTCCAGCTCATCAGCCTACAACTTAAGAAATGAAGAAATGCTCGCTTGTTGCGCACTATCAATATATCTTCCTTCAAGGTTTTGTTTCTGTTTTGGCTCCAGATCTGTCCAAGGGACTTTCCCACCAGATGAAGCAGGGGCAGCAATTTTCACAGATTCCTCCTCCTCCCTGTTGCCCCACAAAATTCTGCTTCAGAGGGTTCTGGGGCTGAGATTCACCCAACAAGTCATTGTGCAAGTGATTCCTTTTGTGCAGTGGGACTCCTTCCCCACCCTCCTCCCCGTGTACCTCTCCTGAAATTGACTCACAGTGGGGGAGGGGGGAGAGGAGAGGAGGAGGGGTGTTCTTTCTGCCAAGCTGTAATGTTTGTGCTGACTTTGATCCAACTTGTGGAATTAGTAACAAATAGTCTGTAAATCACCCCTTCAATAAATCTTTAAAATGCCCCAGTACCAGTTTCTGTTCCTGCAAGGGAGGCTTTAAAACTGATTCACTATGAATCCTTCAGCTGGGATAGCAGCAAAACAAGCTATACCTGCATGTTTTTTGTGTTTTTTTAAACAAGGCACAGAAAGGCTGAAAAAATTCGAGAGTGCTTTGCCTACCCATCCCAAACAGGCTGATACTTCACTTAATTTTAACTTTTTTAATGCAACAAATCCAACCTAATCCCCACCCCTCACCTTCACATGAAAACAACAGAGAAATGCTGGACTGAAACAATTTGACAACACCATTTTGCCCGGTTGCTTCAGAAAAACCTGACAGGATAGAAGGAGAGAAGAAAAGAGCAACTGGGCTGGTATATGATTTTGATTAGAATAACTTGACATAAAGTTGACATAAAGTATGGTTCCAGGAATGGAGAGACAGGCGGATAAGCCAAAGCTTCCAGCAATATTTTGGGAAGTGGGATATATGTAGTAACTTCAGCTAAAGGTAAAGGACCATTAGGTCCAGTCGTGACTGACTCTGGGGTTGCGGCTCTCATCTCGCTTTATTGGCCGAGGGAGCCGGCGTACAGCATGACTAAGCCGCTTCTGGCGAACCAGAGCAGCGCATGGAAACGCCGTTTACCTTCCCGCCGGAGTGGTACCTATTTATCTACTTGCACTTTTGACATGCTTTCAAACTGCTAGGTTGGCAGGAGCAGGAACCGAGCAACGGGAGCTCACCCCGTCGCGGGGATTCGAAGCGCTGACCTTCTGATCAGCAAGTCCTAGGCTCTGTGGTTTAACCCACAGCGCCACCTGCATCCCTGTAACTTCAGCTAATAATAGCCTAATAGAGAATCCCTAGGGTCCCTTGCACTCTTGGCAATGAGCTGTATTAGCTCCCCCCTAGAAGAGGAAAAAACCCACTACTTTAGAAATGGCTACATTTTACACCACCCAAGTGCTCAAAGCGTCCAGAGTGAGAGCGAGGCAAGGGGCAAGGGTGAAAAAATCTGCACACTTTCGTGCTACGGTGCAAGAAGGATGGGAAGCTTTTTCCGTTTCGATCTCACAGATTTTTTTGCACTCCCCCTGGGCCCGTGTCCCTGGTGAAGGGCGGCTTCGCCAACCCCCAGGTATGCTTCTGCTAATAGTGTGGAGACTGAAAAGGCAAGCTGACAGGAAGCCAAATAGTCCACTATAGTTCTGGAAGTGGCTTTCATGTCATGTGAAAGCTCAAATGCAATGTGGAAATGAGCACTTAGCAAAATGTCATGAAAATCGAACAAACTGCAGTGTGGATGCAGCCGGCGTGAATCTGCTCCCCCTTATTTTCTCCCCATCCAACAGAATAAGGATAGGTGATCTGAAGGTGCCTGCCACAGGCTACTTTCCGCCCGCATTCGCAGCAAGAGATGACTTACCCTGTAATCGCTAGAGGTGACATAGAAGATGGGCAGGAAGGCCAGCCAGATGATGCACGTGGTATACATGGTGAACCCAATGAACTTGGCCTCGTTGAAATTCTCAGGGCATTTCCTGGTCTTGAAGGCATAGACTGTACACAAGACTATCAAGAGCACATTGTAGGTGAGTGAAATGAGCATACTGGAGTCTTGGTTGTTGCACTTGAGTGTGACAATGTACCTTTTGTCGGGCTCCGTCTCCTTCCGAGTGCCGGGAGTCTCCACCAGGAGCCAGATGACGACGATAATGAGCTGGCAAGAAATCAGAGCCATGCAGATGACCACTTGGGAGGTGGGGCTGATGAACCTCGGGCGCTGTACGCCCTCCTTCACCCCGCTGAAGATCCGAGCGATGCGGTTGGTCTTGGTCAAGAGGGCCGAGTAGCAGACGGCGAAGGAGGTACCCAGCCCCAGCCGCCGCAAGGTGCAGACCGCCGTAGAGGGCTTCGCGATGAAGATGAACGTCATGCTGTAGCACATCAGAACCCCGGTGAGCAGGATGTAGCACAGTTCGCGCCCGGAGGCCTTGACGATGGGAGTGTCATTGTTCTTCACAAAGACGCCAAAAACAAACAGGGTGGAGATGAAACCGAGGCAGGAAATGGTGACTGGTCCAATAGCCCAGACGTCCTTCCAGCGAATGTACTCTTGGGGTAGCTCATAGCATGCGTTCAGCATCGCGTTGGGCCAGTAGCCAAGCCCACAATCGCTGCAAGTGAACTCATCCAGCAGATATTCGTAAGGCTGGCACGGAATGCATATCCAACAGCACATGTCTCCTGGCTGCATGCTCTTCATTTCATTCTTCTTGCAGGGATCACTGCACTGGGAAACAGGGATGGAGGTCTTCACCCAGGGGATGAGGCTTGTGTTCAGGATGAGTCCTTCTGCCCAAAAGCCCACTTTCTGATAGCGATACCTCCCGTTGGCTCTGTGGTAGTTGAATATATTGTAGCGGCCAATCCCATCCCCACAGTGGTCAAATCGAACTGTGCTTTTGGTGTCTAATGATGGTCGAAAGGGAGCTGCAAAGCAAAAGAGCAAAGACTCATTTAAATGATGGAAAAGCTAAATGATTAGAAAATCAAATGTCCACATATAATTGAATCGCGCTCCACACGTACCTGTCACTCTCCTTTCCAGGGCATGTCTACAGAGGATTAACTACAAAGTGTTATCATACTTTGAAATAAATCTACTTCTGACTAATGGGATTGACAGAAAAATGTTTCACTAAGAAGAGGGAAAAAACACATTTGTGCAGAAAATCCTATTTCATTAGAATGCAATGTATAGAAACCCATTTTTGGTTATTTTTAATTACAAAAATCAAAATGGATATTCAGGACAACATGTTAGAAATGAACCAAAGCCTAATAGGGTGCTTTGTCCCTTTTGACCTTACAGTTTCAGTTGCAAGCGCCATAATCATGTGTTTGAGCATGCTAAATGTGCTCACATTTTCTGTTCTGCTGTTTTTCTTTTCATTTTTGTTATTTCAACCCATAATTTCATGTTCCCAGGCATTGTGATGTTACAGACGTGTGTCTGTTGCCCTCACTGTACTTGTTTGTATAGGCTCAGCAAACCTGTGGGTGAAATAGCCCTAAGGACCAATCTAGATGTGACAGTACAGTGGTACCTTGGTTTAAGAACAGCTTAGTTTATGAGCAACTTGGATTAAGAACGCTGCAAACCCGGAAGTAGGTGTTTTGGTTTGTGAACTTTGCCTTGGAAGCAGAACATGTTCCGCTTCCTGTTGAGTGTGTTCCATTTGTAAATTGAGTCCCCCACTGCTATGGGAAAGCATGCCTTGGTTTAAGAATGCTTTGGTTTAAGAACGGACTTCCAGAACGGATTTTTGTAAACCAAGGTACTACTGTAGTCACATGATTGGCTTCATGTGCTTGTTTTTCCTTTATTAAACAGCAGCCACAAACCCCCTGATCTAGACAAGGGCCTCAAAGGAGCCACAGTGTTAAAGCCTACCTCCACCAACCTTGCAATCTCAGTCTAGATTAGGGCTCTTCAGGGCTGCTCCTTAGAGAGAGAAAACAGGCAAGAAATGGCTAGGTAGATGATTAACACCGTGTCTAGGGAAGATGCAATGTTGTGAGGACTTTCCCCATTTCCTCCTCCTCCTTATCAGGTCGTGTGCTATAAGGCTTCTCACCACTGTGAGTGCTTGCTGGTCAAGAGATGGAGCAGAAATGGAGAACGGCAACTTTCAGGCTAAGCTTTGTTCCCTTCTCAACAGCAGATCAGAGTTGCATGCAGACCCAGAGCCAGCAATATTAGAAGGAATTTGATATCAAGCTAAAGCAAGCGTTCTGCCAGGGCAAGCATTTTGGCTGGCCAAACGGAGCAACCCCACATCTCCTCCCTCCCATTGTGCTGCATGTGCCCATACAGAAAAGTACATATTTCCCCCATATAATATGAGAATTAGCCATGAGGCCTCACTGACCACCTTAGGCTGAAGCTGCACCCTTCTTCTCCCATCACACCCCAAGCCTTTATTTTCCCACACCCCAAAGCACAACCTCGGCTTACCATCAAACGTCACATTCAGCATGAATTCCTTGTAGAACCTCTTGCCGTTCACAGGCTTCATGGGGTCGCAGAGCTTGGTGGCGTTGGGGCACAGCGCTTGATACATGTTGTGCAGGGCGTGCGCCATTGCGTAAACCGCATTGATTACAAACATGATCTTGGATTCCTGCTCAAACTTGCCTGTCTTCAGGGAGAAGCGGCTACAGTTCTGGCTGTGGAAGCTGCACTGGAACTTGTGTTCCCAGAACTCCCGGAACCAAGGGTTTCGGCTGTTGTTGTAGGGGTCAAGGTTCCGGAAGTACACTGCGAATTCCTGCACCGGGTAGGAAGCCAATTCAATGGTGATCGCTCCCTCAGCTATTGGCTCACTGCCAGCCACCACACTCTCGAGAGCACCCCAGCCATCACTGGCCACCCACGTGAAGGACACGTTGATCCTCTGAGCGGCTGCCAAGAGCTCTCGGGCATCTTCGCTCCGGGTGAATAGCACAACCACCCTTGCGCTGGGCTTCTGCAGCAGGGCCTTGATCACCCCGTCAAAGGTCTTCTTGTTCATGGAACGGCCCACTTTCTCAGAGGTGGCGATGCAGATGTTGCGAGCCCGGGCTTGTTGCTCAAAGGCTTCAATGCCTGTTTCTCCATAGTCACCTTCTGAGGCCACCGTGGAGACGTAGGTCCAGTTGAAGAAACGCAGGATCTCGGACATAGCCTTCGCCTGGTAGAAGTCTGGTGGGACAGTGCGAGCGAAGTAATCGTAGCGAGTCTTGTCGCTGAGCTTGGCACTGGTGGAGGCATAGCTGATCTGGGGGATCTGGAATAGTCGCAGCAGGTTAGCCACCTGAAGGGAAAGAGAGGAAGGAAGGAAGGAAACAACTTGATGAGCAACACATAAGCAGCAACAGGAGAAATGGCATAGTTATGAAGCAGCAGTGGCGATGAAGAATATTCTACCTGCTCTGTAGAGGAAAATGTGATAATTTAAACATAATGCCCCAGAAGACTCTCCTGTCGACATTTGAAAGAGGAGGCAGTTCATAAACCTCATGTTTCCCACATCCTAATTTGAGCAACTCTACCCTGAAAATTCAATTTAGAAATCAGACCAAACCATGGTTAAGGAAGTTTAACTATGGTTTAGTTTGGGGCCTGAACTGACATAAAAAGCATTTGCAGTCAACCAGCAAACCAGAAACCACTGCTTGAAGTGGGTTTCCAAACTATGGTTTCTGGTGCCAGTGGTTTGGCATGACATCTGACTTGACATGCCATAGCTATAGATATCCTTCTGCCTTCAGATGCTGCTTCACCATGTGAAGGAAATGAGCAACATGCATTTAAGAAGCTGAGTCCAGAGAGGATGGAAAATGAAAACGCACAAGAAGCTCTGAATTAAAGCATGGTTTGCCTTTTATATGATTCTCAAACTGTGGTTCAAATTCTAAACTGTAGTTAAAGCAAACCATGGTTTGGTGTTTAGAACAAAATTGATCATAGTCTGTCAGTATACAGTGGTACCTCAGGTTACAGACGCTTCAGGTGACAGATGCTTCAGGTTACAGACTCCGCTAACCCAAAAATAGTACCTCGGGTTAAGAACTTTGCTTCAGGATGAGAACAGAAATTGTGTGGTGGCGGTGTGGCGGCAGCGGGAGGCCCCATTAGCTAAAGTGGTGCTTCAGGTTAAGAACAGTTTCAGGTTAAGAACGGACCTCCGGAATGAATTAAGTTCTTAACCCAAGGTACCACTGTATCTGGTTTAATGTGATGAGGAAGAGAATGGAAGAACTACAAGGCACAGGTACCCAGATGGCATTGCATAAGCTGGCATCTGAGCCTTCAGCAGGCAATACATACACACTTCCTAACTTTTTGGTGTGAATATGAGGACGAGCAAATTGTTCTCTAAAAATCAGAGCTCAAATTCTGAGTAAATGATATGCTCTGTACCACACTGAGATGTATCTGCACCAGTAGAGGGATATACTGATGGTCTAATATTTAAACCAGTGAAGGTAGGGCAATTGGGATGCTGCCCCACCAGCTTCAGCTTGCCCTCAGCCAGCCCTCACCTGCCTGCCTGCCTTCTTGCTTACATCCAGCCCAGAGCACTCCCTGTCAGCTTCCTTTACTTCAGTCTCTGTGTTTCCCCTTGTAAAACTCAGAAGGAAGGTGAATAGGAGCAAAACTAGAATTAGCTAGTTCTGCCTGCCATTGACTCTGGCTGGCTCCACCTACTTCTGGGCTCCTTACCTCCCACTCCACCAGTCACAGCAGCCACCAAGGATTAAAACATTTGCTGTTGAAAGCATATCCTTAATATTGCAGGCCATTTCTAAGGCATTAGGTTAACAGCGGTTAACACTGTTGACCTTATTTGCCTTGTCTGAGCTAATCGTTTATGACACATCAATGCTACACTGATGTTTCTTTACTATGGATTTAAACTGTTTCGTATGCAGTGAAAATCTTTGCACAAACTTCTACTAGATGTTGGAGCGCACAAAGAATAAATGACACAGAGTGACACATGTTCAGTGGGCACCTTAAGTCTGAGCCACACAGAATACAATAAGTGTGATGTCCTGCGGTGTTGAAATGGCCTAAATCATCTTCCTGGACCATTGAAATTAACCCCTCGCTGAGATGAATAGGGCATTTAATGGGGACTTTCATTGTGAGCTTCTTGCAGCTTCTTACAGACAGATGTGAACTCATAAATACATGGATGGCATTTTGGACACATTTTCTCTGGAGCTGCAATAGCTAAAACCCTGGGGTTTAATCTTGATCAAATCAATAGGCATTTGCCGCTGGCCTCAATGGGAGGTGGATTGCAAGTGGCAAGATAAGATGATGGTGAATTAGGTAGCAGCTTCATACAAAAATCTGATACATGTTTCCCACTATATGTTCTGACCTACATATGACTGACTGCATGGTTAGCCCTTTATAAGGAACTAGGCTAAATCACACCAAGCTACCACAGTAGAAAAATAAAGCAGGGTCTATTATGTGTTGTACTCAATGAGCCACTCTCCCCATTAGTTTCAAGTTACAGACTCTTTATAATTGGAGACAGCAAAATAACAAGCCTCTCTAGATTGTCAGCATCTTGTTTTGGTTTGTAAAATCCTTCTTTCCTGGCATGTGGAAGAGGCATGGCATTGATTGTCACACACGCAGGAGCACTTCTTAACCATGACTGCACATGCAGCCATAACAAATGTATGCATAAGGCATCCTATTGACAGCCTCCCAAGCTCTCTGCATGCATAATTGGTACAAATGTCCATCACATTTGCAGGATATTGCTCAAAGACAGTACTTTGCAACAAGAAAAAAGCTAATAGAAACCTGCCTCTTAATATGAGAGCTTGCTCAAGGATGACCAACTTGGAATGCCAATTCTGAAATCATTTTGAATTTTTACTATGGAAATGTTCCAATTTAGGCTGCGGAGGGGCAGCCTGCCTCGCCTATATTCAATACCACATATCTATCCGATTACTACGAAAAAACCACATCAAGCACTCTCAAAATACACTACTTTTTGCAATACATCCAGGAAGTGGCCTTTGAACGTTTCTGATAATCTTATTCCTCTATCAGCATGTTCTTGCTCAGTCCACCCCCATGGAAACTGAAATGTTGCATCCGGTCTATTAAGCAGACTCAGAAATTAACGCCCCCTCCCCAGACCATATGCAATGCATGCGCACACACACACACACACACACACACACACACACACATACAATGCAACTCAGTATCAGAAAGTAACATAGTATGTGTGCATTTATAGAGTACCCAGGGGATATGGTCAAAGAAAAGGGGAGGGGGAACCCTCCTCTCTAAGGCAATCTTAGCAAAGAGTTGTTTAAACACCAAGTTATGAGCATATCTAAGGAGTCTGAATGGAAAGGAAGGACTAGAATTGCCAACTCTCAGAAGAAGATGTCTGGTCTACTCTTTTGCATTAACAGCATATATATGAAGGCATCAGCAGGTGGGCCATTATCACCTACTAAAGTAGTATCTGTTGATCAAGCTCCTGTAAAAAGGACTATAAAAATATGGAAACCCTAGGAATAATTTTCCTGTAAATATAAAGTAGTAGATTTATTATTATTATTATTGATCAATACTCCAGCATTTATGCACATAACACAGAGCTATATATTCCAAAACAAGGAATTGCACCAAATCTAAATTACTTAACATGTCTCTTTAGTTATTTGAAATATTTTTTCTGCTTTTTGACCAAAAATGCCCAAGGCAGGTTGCAACATACAGTGGTGCCTCGCAATACGAAATTAATCCGTTCTGCGAGTCTCTTCGTCTTGCGGTTTTTTTGTCTTGCGAAGCAAGCCCATAGGGAAATTCGTCTTGCGGAACGACTCAAAAAATGGAAAACTCTTTCGTCTAGCGAGTTTTTCGTCTTGCGAGGCATTCGTCTTGCGGGGCACCACTGTATGTCTGTCTATCTATCTATCTATATCTATCTATCTATCTATCTATCTATCTATCTATCTATCTATCTATCATCTATCTATCTATCATCTATCATCTATCTATCTTTCATCTATCATCTATCTATATGTCTGCCACCTTCTCTTTTCAAACTCTTGGGTCTTTCAGGGATGTGGCAGGCAGAAACTCAACAGATGATGCATGGAGCTTCAAAGAAATGGATATCTTCACCTGTTGAGCTTGCAAACCCTGAGAATATTTCTTATATTTCCTTGATGACGTGGTGCAAAGAAATCCAAAGCTCTAATGCAGTAAAGGTTGCTGAAAACAAGCTGTTATGACTGAGGCCTGAGTTTTTCCAGAGCATTCGTGACCAACGGCTGGAATAGTTTACTCTCGGTCATTATTTTACACTGTCATTATTTCCCTTGTGGTCTGAAGCCGTTCTCCAAGCCGTTATGGAACTATATCTTACAGATTAATGGTGTGCTTTTATTCTTCAGAAACCACCGCCAAACAAACAAACTCCTGCCTCACAGGAATGCTGTGCGGTGACACTTGTCCTTCTCCGCTGCACTGACTAGAAGGGGAGGGGAGCGGCTTCTGGCTCTGCAAAAAACGACACAGTACGATGCACTCACTGTGCAGCAAAGCAGAGCCGTAGGCCACTGCGCTGTCATGAAAACAGTTGGAAGTCAGGTCCTGCAAAATTTCTGGGAGAAGGAGAAGCTTCAAAGCTATGAGAGAGTGGCTTGGATTTTCAGGATCAAGCTTCTGCACCTTCTTTACTGTGTCCAAGATCTTCTCAATGACCTCAGCTGAAAGGTTGGCTGCCCCTGATTTAGAGAAGGCAAACACTCTGCTGTGAGTACCACGCAAACCACTTGGGCTATGTTGGCCAAAGGGGTCATATGCTAGTGGACAGCAGTTGAGCCGATACATTCTCCACAGAGAAGAGGCATTCTCTGATCCTGAAAATCCAAGCCACTCTCTCATAGCTTTGAAGCTTCTCCTTCTCCCAGAAATTTTGCAGGACCTGAATTCCACCTGCAAAATATGTCAAAGAGGACACTGAGTCCAGCAAGCTAGAAACCCCAATAATCATTGTGGCTGGTGATCCTGGGCACCAAAATAAATCCGGTACTGAGGACATGCTGTTGTCCCCCTCTTTAAAATACTTGTGGAGATCTTGATGAAGAATGAAATCAAGGAAGCTGTGGCAGTCCATCCCCTTTCTCCACCTGAGGCGAAACAGGAATATGCCGCCAGTACCACTTTTGCTGTGAGGTGGAATGCCCCCGCTCTTGCCAAATTTAGGGAGAGAGGGGGCATTCCACAAGGCCTTGGCACTTGTCTTCTCTGCCCCGTGGGTGAGGAAGATGAGCTGCAATACCTCATGCTTGTAATGCCCCGCTCTTGCCTCACCACTCGGTGAGAGGGTGGATGTGGGCCATGTCAGAGCCAGGGCATCTTCAGTGAAAGCCCTCTATTCTCCCCAGTAGCCATGGAGGAATCTGAAGAAGCACCTCTGGTGAGAATTGATGGCCAGGCACATGTGGAGACAGGCTCTCCTCCAGGTTCCTGTTGGCAAGCCTTAAAGGTCAAGATCAGCATTTTCAAATGGGCCCAGAACCACACCAGTCACCAGTGGTGTCAGCAAAGCAGTGGTGAAATATATATATATATTAATTCCCAGCACAGCTTGTTGTCTAGCAGCCATGGTCTAAACTAGCGGTGGGGAACCTGTAGACATAGTTAGGCCTGGCATGCCTCCCCAATTTCCCCCATGAGGCCGTTTTGGCCAAGCCACACCCACCTGGCCTACACCAAATGTCATATAGGATGTCAGGTGGAGGGTAGGGGTTTGCAGCACTGGCAAGCAGAAAATCACTATCAGTACAAGCACTGATAATTAGCTGGTCATCAGTGTCTGAAATGCGCTGTGCCTTTGCCCATGCAATTTGATCTCAAACCACGCAGGCAAAGGAAAGCAGATTACCTGACATCACTGTGATGTTGGGTGATTTATAGGTGGGTGGCGCTGTCCATCAGCTTAAGTTGGCCCATGGAAGATGAGGGAGGTAAGGATCTGGCTTACGGGCTGGAACCAGCTCCCTGCCATTGTTCTAACTTAACTGCAGTTTCTGAACTGCACTTCCTGAGAGTCAGCCCCATGTAAAATATTGCAGTTGTCTCACCAGGAGGTTACCAGAGAAAGGGGTTGACCAAGACTAGGGCTGATATACCACAAGTTAGATATCAGATATGATGTGAGGTTATGTAATAAACTCAGGTAAGTAGAAGGGACGCGGGTGGCGCTGTAGGTTAAACCACAGAGCCTAGGACTTGCCGATCAGAAGGTCGGTGGTTCGAATCCCTGCAACGGGGTGAGCTCCCGTTGCTCGGTCCCTGCTCCTGTCAACCTAGCAGTTCGAAAGCACGTCAAAGTGCAAGTAGATAAATAGGTACCGCTCTGGCAGGAAGGTAAACGGCCTTTCCGTGCGCTGCTCTGGTTCGCCAGAAGCAGCTTAGTCATGCTGGCCACATGACCTGGAAGCTGTACGCCGGCTCCCTCGGCCAATAAAGCGATATGAGCGCCGCAACCACAGAGTCGGCCACGACTGGACCTAATGGTCAGGGGTCCCTTTACCTTTAATTAGTAGGGAATTTGTGAGATGATGCTAACATACTAACGACAAAATGTAAAAGCCGGAAGGAATTTTGTGGAAATGTCTAATATGTAATGTTAGTGTGGAAGATCACAGAATTTAAGCAGAAGTGGTTGCGTGGGGTAAAAGCTTCCAGTATATTATTAGGAGGGAGAATGACAAGCACCTATTACAGTCTGAAGCCAAACTAGAGCAGACAAAGCAGTACGGTTACGGTTACTATGGATGCTATAACGTAGCTCATGTAAAAGGCAGCAGAAGGGAGGCTTCACTAATAAGGTTGTTGCAGATCCGTTTCTGTAAGAGCTGCAAGGCAGGCTACACAATTCTACGACTGATGTAGATCACAGTGATGTACAAGCAGATGTTGTGCAGGGAGAAAGCTAATCTGCTGCCTTTGTGCCTGGCCTAAGAGCCCTTCTGAAAGAGGAAAAACTGAAGAGCAAGTCAAATAATCTACCAGCAGTGAAAATGTGCACCCAGAGCTGCGGATGGTGCTGCTGCAGTCTGCGACTCAAACTCTCCACTTGGTCCAGATGCTCTGCAGTAATGCTCATTATCTTCAAAGGGGAGAAATCCTCACTAATGAGGTTGTTAAAAATACAGACTACAAAAGAGGCAGGCTAGAGGAAAAAGCCCTGCCATCTGATAGGCTCTTCGGAGTTGAGAACCAGAACACACTTCACAGCTCTGGATGTGTCAAAACCTTGCTGCATAATTAACATGCACAAATAAATTTTAAGCAGAAAATTACATTCCATAGCGGCAAGAAGGCACCCGAGATGGCAAATTGCCCTTCAAGGACTCCCCACCGGCAGTGTCAAGGGCATTTGACCTAAAGCCTTGTGTTTAACTGTATACGCTGTGGGGAATGGGAACAATCTTCCACACCTGCCAGGCTTGATTTTAGAATTATTAGCATGATGTTATAATTTCATAACCCCTTGCAGAACGGGGCTTTTGCAAGACTCAGTGGAAAACTCCGGGCCATTTAAGACCTCTACAATAACGCAGCCATTTCTCTCTTGCTAATGGACTGTTGTTTATTTAACAGCTATGATCGTAATTATGGTAGATTGCCTCTGTAACAGCTGGGGGGTGGGACTAAGTAGCTCTTTTGTTCAAATGTTAAGAAAGATCTGTAAAAGTAATGCTAGTTACCCATTAGACTTTAGTGAGAACAATTTATCTCTTGTCACCAACTTGTCCTTAGAGCCATAGCTTGAGACTCTTAATCTCAGGGTCAGCAGTTTGTGCCCCATGTTGGGTGAAAGATTCCTGCATTGCGGGGGGGGGGGGGTGGACTAGATGATCCTTGTGTTCCCTTCCAGCTCTACAGTTCTAGGATTCCATGATTATCCAAGGGAAAGCACAGATCAGGTAAATCCACTTCCATACTGCATTAGGCTACAATTATCCCCACAAGTTCCAATAGGCGTTTGTGTGCCTACAAATTTGGAAGCAAAACAAAGCTACCCAACATATAAGGGAGTGGTTTCTACATACTGGGGGACTCCCTTAGGTAAGGACAGATTTAACTAACCAGTCCCACCAGTGGAAGTCCACACAAGGACTTTCACTCATGCAGTGGGGCTCCCCCCCTCTCATCCCCATATGCCCCCCTTCAGATCTGCTCTGGAGGGTCAGGAGACAGCCCCCAGAAGAGCCCCCAGGGGGAGGAGAAGGCAGATCACTTCCCTCAGGCAAGCAGAAGTGCTTGTGTGGCTGGTGATCAGCTTTGTGTTTTAGCATATGCGCCGCCGGGGTGCAAAGATCCGCCCAGCGCCCCCAAATTTAGTTTAGCCCCCAAATTAACTTTGGCATTCGTTGTAAAATGAAGAAAAAATGCAGCTCACGGAATTCATAGTGTGTGTGTGCTCTAGGTGCGTTTTTGCGGAAACGTGAAACTAAAATTGCGTGCTGAAACGCATGTGTAGAAGAGCCCTAAGTACTAAGTAGTTAGTCAAAGAAAATGCCGACAATTAGCGAAAATAAACATTTTTTAAAACGATTTCTCTAAATGAATTTGAACTGTAAGTGATGAAATTCAAATGAAATTTGCAATGTTTTGCTCGGGGTCAGCGGCACCTTTGACATGACTGATCTCGCGCAGCTTGCATGCAGCTAGCAGGAAGGTGCGAGATCAGTCATGTCAAAGGTGCCGCTGACTCACCCCACTGCCACATAGCAGCTCAATACACCACATAACATAATATTTTGTAAGAGTTAATTTCGCGTGCACGGCGCCATTGAGAATGACAAGTGCCTTTGTTGACTCGTCTGACAAGTGCAGCCATTCTGAATGCCAAGTATCGCCTCTGGCGCGGCGCATCTTTGGTAAATGAGTGCACAAAGTTGAAAGTCCTTTCGTGAAACAGTAGGTATACATTTCGGTGATACCTAGATATATACGTATTTTGTGTTTCTAGCTTGATCAAAATTATTATTTCATAACAGGTAGATAGTTAAGAGCTTAGGTGGCTTCAGCAGCGGACACCTGGCACACCCCCCCCCCAGAATTTGGTGCCCGGGTGCCCCGCACCCCTTGCACCCCTGGGTAAAGATGGCCCTGGTGCAAGGGGTTCCCTCTCCTTTTTGCTAAAGGTTTTGGACGGCCAGAGATGAGATTGCATGGAGTTTTCCACAATATCTCAGTGGTGTGGATGGGGCTGGCTTGAGAGGAAGGACAGGCTCTAACCACCTTGCAGAACCTCAGGGTCGGCCAGGCTTGTCAGAAGATATTGTAAGCTAGGCTGGCCAAGGTGTCTCTGGTTTGCATTGTCGTTTTGCTGCCTGGTCCTGGACTTGGTTGGCCCACCAAGTGCTGTGTTGAACCAGCTGCCCAAAATATTTATTACCCCAGAATGCCTCTGGACCCAGAAAGATGGTGGGGGAATGAAAATGCCAGATGGACAGAGCTTTGGAGGGTGCCCTGCCTTGTTCCGTTACACACCATGGCTGACCATAGTCACCCCCCAGAACCTGCCATTCATTCACTGGCATCGTTTGTGGGCCCACCCAGACTGCAGCACCCCAGATGCCCACCACAAAGTCTGACCCTAACAGTGCAACTGCGTCTGGCCATGGGTGTGAAAGAGAAAACAAACTGAGCCAGGTGCGCCCACAGCCATACAGGAAGGGGGGAAAGGATGGTTGTTGTGCCATCAGTTGGCAGGTGCAGTTGCTTGCTTGTATGAACATCCCTCGCCTAAGCTCAGCCTTCTCTGCCAATTAAAAAAAACTGGCTCCAGAAGGAAAACTTCCTCCTGTTTCCATGGTGCATGCACACACAGAAGTGACATTTCTCTAGCCCAGCCAGTTAAGCAATGACAAATCCTATCTGACAGACTCATTCTTAACTAGTGAGAATTAGAGCAGGGGAGTGTCGGCGTGTTCATTATGACATCAGAGTTTACAACCCAGCTCGATGTTGCGATTCTAAGAGAGCTTCGGTTGCTAGAAGCAGATCATCATTTCCTCTCGAGACATGGGCTTTCCCTGAAAGAGATGATTGCTTTCTGCAAAAAATGTTGCGTAAGTTGAGTGCCGCGTGCCAATCTTCCTTTGCAAAGTGTCTTAAAGGTAAAGGTAAAGGTACCCCTGCCCGTACGGGCCAGTCTTGACAGACTCTAAGGTTGTGCGCTCATCTCACTCTAGAGGCCGGGAGCCAGCGCTCTCTGCAGACACTTCCGGGTCACGTGGCCAGCGTGACGAAGCTGCTCTGGCGAGCCAGAGCCGCACACGGAAACACCGTTTACCTTCCCGCTAGTAAGCGGTCCCTATTTATCTACTTGCACCCGGGGGTGCTTTCGAACTGCTAGGTTGGCAGGCGCTGGAACCGAGCAACGGGAGCACACCCTGCCGCGGGGATTCGAACCGCCGACCATGCGATCGGCAAGTCCTAGGCGCTGAGGTTTAACCCACAGCGCCACTCGCGTCCCCGCAAAGTGTCCTACGCTACACAAAATACTATGATCAGAAACTGAGTCCTTTGTTGCACTGCCACCCTCATGTCTCCAATGGTATCAGTGGGAGCTTTCTTCCCCAAGCCAAACAACAGCTGGGGCAGTTGGCCGTGTTTTAGTTATGATAGTGGAGGAGAGGAGGGTGAAACCAGGGGTGGCCTGTTCAATTTAACCACTTGAGCTGAAACCGGACTTGCCGTGCCACCACCCTGCTGGTGCCACACCACACCAGCCTTCCTTATTTGCTTTGTGCAGTGGTGCCCACAAAGCACCAGCAACAGTGCCAGCTTTGAATGACGCTTCTCTGCTGGTGAGGGTGGGGAGCCTGGGCTAAGGCGAGCTTTGCACACTGTGAAGTAGGCACATTCAGATACATCAGTAACCCACACAATCTCTGGAATTAGGATGGAACAACGGAACAGTTAGCTTCTGGAACATGCCTGAACCGCACATCTATTTTTAGGAAGTAAGCACTGGTTTTCATAAAAAGCAAGATGTAGTGTAGTCAGTTGCTGCACCACCCTCTTGCTCATTAGTCAAGCGCTGGCCTTTTGCACCCAACAAATGCAAAATTACATAAATGGAAGGGCAGCCATTGGTAAAGAGCTTGAATGCTCTTGTAGCATAAGGCTCAGCAGTCCTACAGACTCTTTTGACCCTTCTCTATGCTTATATTTCTTTCTTTTTTCTTTATTCTGGCCATCTTTTCATAAGGCACGCAAAAAATCAACGTCGCCACCGCCAACGTCACCACCACCTTCAATGCCAGAAACTTCGAAAAAGGAAGTTAAGGTACATGCCCGACTTTCTATACAGGCAATTTTGCCGTCCTAGAGGCATCTGGGGGGCCACTGGGAGAACAAGATGCTGGACTACATGGGCCATTGGCTTAATCCAGCAGAGCTCTTCTCACGTTCTTAAGCGCTTTTCCTTCACTGCCACCATTCCTGCTTCCAGGTAGGTTGTTTTTTTTAGTGAGAACTATAAGGTTGTGGCCTAGCTGTTAGACACAGGTGGGAAAAGACCATTTTCAACATCCAGTTTGCATCTTTTCAGTTTTGTGTCTTGTTTGGCTGACGGAAACTATTAAATGTCTGACACAATATGACTGATTCTTGAATGAGAGAGAAAACTAACAGGGAAAGGGATTTGTGCCTCGGCCCCTTTCTGCTTATGTTGTAGTGACAACTGAGTCATTGTTTCCTACTTTTAGGCTGCTATTACCATCCAGAAATGGTGGCGTGGTACTCTAGTCCGCCGTAGCCTGCAACACGCCATCGTCTGTGCATGGTTGGTCCAGAAATGGTGGCGCATGATTTCCTTCCGGAGACGAGAAGAGAAAAGGGCAATGGCATTATCGACGTACATTTGGTCTGAGAAGGCTTCCGTCCTCTTGCAATCAATGTTTAAGATGTGGCTTATGAGAACACGGTACAAGAAGTATCAAAGGGCAGCACAGATCATCCAAAGTAACTGGCGGCACCACAGCTTCAGAAAATCCTCCGGCTCCTATTCTCTTAGCAACCTGAATCAGGATGGCATAGATTTGAACATTGAGATTGTTGTTGAGTAAAGAGTCTCTGTGGAGAAGGTAGAAGAGACTGCTTTCAAACTCAGACTCCAGGGAGTGAAATAAATGCATGCTTTGTCATACAGTTGTACGGCTGCTGTCTGTTTACTGTGGGTGGACGATTGCCATGGATTTGACTGAAAGCAAAGGCTGATCACCCTCTAGGATTTGACAAAATGAATGCTGATGTTCATTAATAGTCCAGGAAGGGCAAGGGGTGTCTCTCGATGGGACCCTATTGTTAGATGATTAATTATTAGATTATTTATTAGAGTCTCTGGAATGAGTAAGTCACCAGTGTTTGTAGATTGTGTATGTGTGTCAGCAGTCTGAGGCAGGTAAACACAGACAGGCACAGCAGATAGGTACACAGAGTGAGCCATGAGCTAAAGGCTGGAAGCATCTTGGAAGCACAGTGCTTCTTTCTAGAGAGCTGATGTCAGGTAGCATGAGGGTATGGTACTATGGTGTGCATTTTTGTGTTTTTATATTGTAAACCAACCTTGTGCTCCTTGGCTGAAGGGTGGTATAGGAATTTAATAAATAATCCTAGAATCAAAGAATTGTAGACTTGGAAGGGACCCTGAGGGTCATCTCATTCAACCCCCTGCACTGCAGGAATCTCAACTGAAGCATCCATGACAGATGACCATCCAACCTCTGCTTAAAAACCTTCACGGAAGGAGAGTTCACCACCTCCTGAGGGAATCCGTTCCACTGTTGAATGGCTCTTGCTGTCACAACAAAGTTCTTCCTGATGTTTAGTCAGAATCTCTTTTATTGTAACTTGATAGTTACAAGAATAATAAAAATAGTTTACAATGCATAAATAGCTTCTCACAGACATCGAGTCATTTCCAATGTAATGTTTGGCTTCCGCTGGACAGCTCTTGGGATGTTTCTTCTGGGCAAAATGTGTAAAAGAGTTTAAATGGTTCATTCGCATGCAGCACACCCCTAGGCAATCGATGAATTGAGAAGTTCTAGTGTTCATTGTGTAGTCGTCACTCAGAATACTGCATGGATGAACCATTCTGACATGATATTTTCACGTGCAAACATCTAGGAACATTGGAAGCTACCTTATACCAGGTCAGAAAAATTGCCCAGTTTGCTCATCAAGAGACTGGAACTGGCTTTCTAGGCTCTCACAATCTCTCCTACTCAATCCTTTTTAACTGGAGGTACTGAGAACTGAAATTTGGGATAGCCTGCATGAAAACATGTGCTCTGCCATGAAACTATGGACCCTCCACCAAACTAACATCCCTGTGAACCTGTGCCCCCACCCTCTAACCTGCTGTTATTGGACTACATATCCCATCATCCCTGGCCTTTGGTCATGCTGACCAGGGCTATTGGGAGTTGGCATCCAGCAACATCTAGGGGGCTTGATGTTCCTCAGGGCAGCCATATTAGGAATTATATAGAAGCTGTGCCGCAGAGGCAACACTTTACTACAAAGCTGGCTGCTTGTCCTCCTCTGACCCCAAATTGTGATCCTTTTGCTGTGCTGACTACTGTTCCTTAGATCACTATGACAATGCGAAAGGATGGGTAGTTTGGGGGTCAGTTTGTTAGTTTAATTAGTTCTATCATGACATGAGGCAAGCAAAAGAAGATACCACAAGAAAGTCTCAGTCTCTCTCTCTCTCTCTCTCTCTCTCTCTCTCTCTCTCTCTCTCTGTGTGTGTGCACACCACACCAGGGACTATCAGAGCAGGGCCAGGAGGGCCTGAAGCTCAAAGGAGGCCTCAAATTCAGCATTTGTTAAGTTCTGCAACTTGTTTTTATGCACATCGGACCAAAATGCAACATTCACAGTTTAGAACATTTAAGCAAGTAAGAATCGTGATTTGGCAAAATGCTTTTAAAATTTTGTTTAACTGATACAGATAAAGTTATATTAAATAGTTTTAAATAGTAATGACTCAGCAGAAGGCCTACCCCCCCCCCCAGTATTATGACTGTGAAGTATTATGACCCACATTCCTCTGCGGCAGGAAGTTTGTGCTGGATCATTCTGTGAGCCAAAGTGGTAGGTTGGAGTCAGAGGCAGGCCCTTCTGCCATCTGTTTTCCTTTTATTTTTGGAGAATGTTTGGTTGCAAAAAACAAAACAAAAAAACCCAACACAAAACCACAGTGAAGAACTGATGGCGTTCACCACATTTTGTTGCCTGGAAGGCCTTTTGAAGAGGAGGAGAATGGGAAGCTCTCCTTTCCCCCTTCCCTCATTGCCTAGAATTCCTTCACTGCTACCTACCTAGGCAATTATAATTCCACCATTTCCGCAAGTGTGCCTAGGCGACATTATTCACTCATTGTCTTTTTACAAAAAGGTTATGGTCATTTTGAACCTTAAAACAGGAAAAACCTTGGATCTACCTATCCAAAATTTGGTAGGGTTAATCTCTTGGCTGGTTATTATGTACCTATGTGGGGGGAAACTCAGAAATTTACAGCTGTTCTGGTTTCCAGGCAGAAGTCAATGAGAGGACTGTAGCTTTGGTTTTCCTAATATTGTGAAGGTCTCCCAAACCAATCTGAGGTGAATGTAGCCCCAATCAAAAGCACTAGAACAAGTTCTGAAGTCAAGTGGATGAGGGGAGAGTTCATGTAGCTTTAGTGCTTCTCCTTGTCCGCATCCCCAAAAAGGTCTTATAATAGTCAAAGTTCTGAAGGATAAATGGATAGGATGGATTGAATGAGAATACAGCTATAGATAAAATGCAAAACTTACCACCCTAGCCAAAACTGGGAGGAGAGAAGAGTGATACTGTATAAGCAACTATTCTAACTAGACTAGTAGTGTAAGTAACTAAGACACAGGAGAGGCAACAAACTTCTTTTTTTAATGAAGAAGGGACAGGAATGGATTGTGAAGGATGGAAAAGAGTTGAGAGGGCTTTGCCCATGGAGGGCTCCTTGAAAAAAGAGGGTGGAAACAGTTTACTGCCTATGGGTGGGCTTTTTCAAAATGGGTGGTGAGTGGGAGAGAAGAAGCATTGGGACTTATTCACCTCCCGTTTGCTTTGCTGGTCTTGCAGAGCAAACAACAGGCACATAATCTCCCCACTGAGGAGTGACTGGAAAACAGGACAGAGAGTGGAAAAAACAAGGGGATTGACTGGTGTGTTGTTGTGTTTACTGTGTTTGTTTTGCTACCTGCCAGCTACATCAAACAAGTATGAAGCTTTTGAGTGTGTGTGCATGTGTTGGAGAGGAGGAAGAAGCATGGGAACTACTGTGCTTGCTTTGCTGCCTACCAGCCATGTGGAGCAGTTGGCAGACTTCTTGAATGTGTGTGTGTGGTGGCAAGCTTTTAAAAAATATATATATGGGAGTGTAGGAGGGAGAGAAGCAACTGCTTGAGATGGGCCTCAGCTGAATGTTGGGGTGAGGATAAGGGAGGATATGGCAACTCTTCCCTAATACTTGCTGCATGCCCCGTAGCAGGAATTGTTCCAAAGTTGTTGTTCTTTTGGGGTGGGATGCCAAATACAGAGGCATCTTTTTCCTGCTGTCTGCCACACAGCAGGGTACAGGGATTGCTCCCAAGTTGTTGTGAGGTGAGGGAAGCACAGTCATCATCATTATTATCATTATTATTACTAAAGATAATATGGGGGGAAAACATGATTATTTGTACAATTTTATATAACCGTCTCTCTTCTTTTTCTGCTCTTTCGGAGGTTGCAGTCATTTTGTGTTAGGCCACTACAGTGGTACCTCGGTTTAAGAACAGTCCGGTTTAAGAACGATTTGGTTTACAAACTCTGCAAAACCGGAAATAGTGTCTTGGTTTGAGAACTTTACCTCAGTTTAAGAACGGAATCCGAACGGTGGAAGGGCACCGACAGTAGGAGGCCTCATTAGGGAAAGCACGCCTCGGTTTAAGAACGGTTTCAGTTTAAGAACGGACTTCCAGAATGGATTAAGTTCGTAAACCAAGGTACCATTGTATTTCTTTAAATAGCATAAAAAGTGGTCGTTCTAGAATCTGATGTAGTCTGTGTACGAAGAAGACTGTGAGCTGAGGCTTGTAGGCCTGTTGTACTGTGTGGCTCTGTGACAACTTCTTGTTTTTTATATCCCTCACTCCAAATAAAGCTTTGTTGCCCTGTTTCAAGACGCCTCATGTGAATCTTTTCTATAAACTCCTTTGCATTAGTGCTGCCAAAGTCCCAGTTCTGAGGATTTCTCCCACTCCATGCAGGCTTCTAAATGTCATAAAATGTGACTCTGAACAAGAAAGCATGTACCGTATGCAGACATGGGGAAAATGTGTGTTACAGTGGTGCATGTTTTGCAGGCAAATTATAATCAATTACATACCCCTGGGCAGTTCTAAATTTTCCCTTTAAAAAGCCCCACCCCACAAACCATGTTTTAAAAAATGCAATTCCCACAACATGGCTAGTGCAATCTTAACCATGTCTACTCTGAAATAAGTTCTACTAAATTCAATGGGGCTTGATCCCAGGTGAGTGGTGTTAGGATTGCAGCCTAAATACTGGAGAATCTGCAGAGTTTCAATGTGCAAATTTCTCCCATTCAACTTGTATATTTAGTTCTCAGATGTGCTCTCTTGCAGGTCAATTTTATTTCTTGCACTGGGTTTGAAACAAGGAAGGAAGCAGCTTTTGGTTGTTGAGTAGTGTGTGTGTGTGTGTGTGTGTGTGTGTGTGTGTGTGTGTGTGTTATTCTGTTTGCATACAGACTCACCATTTTTAATTTTTATTCTGAGCAGAGGTCTCAAAAGCTGGATGTGATCCAGGCCTCTTTGAACCCCTGAGAGGGCCTGCGCTCCACTGCTGTAAGCGAGCCTTTCCCTTTCATACAGCCTTTGCCCAAACCACTCTTGGGAAGCAAAGAGGGCTGGAGAGAAGCAGGGAAGGTGTTAATCCACTGCCTGCTTTAGAGACACAGTGTCTCAGCTGGATCAAATCTGTAGCTTTCTGTGCCAGTCCTGGGGGATTCAGGGAGAGAATCAGAGGCAGAGAGAGCACTCCGGTCTCCTCCAGCCTGGAGGGGACACAAACCACAGGGGACAGCAGCCAGTGAGAAGAACCCAGAATTATTAATAAAATGCCTTTGTGTTCTTGTTGCCAGTGCAGAACTCTGCAGAGAGGGTTCTGTAGCCAAATTATCTGTGGATCTTTTTAATAAGCTCCCTAATTATCTCACCAACTGTCCCTCGCTCACTTTGTATAACTCCTTGCCCTGCTTTGCTATTTACCCACCTTTTGGGCTGTCAGTTTAGTTAATGATTCCTTTATTAAAAACACAGCCATCTAGCCGGCTGAGCTGGTTATCTTTCTGAATGTTGCGTCCTGCTTTCTTTGTCTGCCCACGGCCAGCACGACACCCTCAGAGCATGAGGAAGGGGGAAAAAGATGACCCCCCTTTTATTTCCTTTGTGCCCTGCTCCCCTTAATCAGATCTAACTGCCGCTCTCTGCACCTTCTCGGCTCAGCCTCTTTTGTCTTTCATTGTTCTTTTTTTACTTCCTACAGGTTTTCTTGCTTCATTCCTTTATTTTAAGCAACATCTACACATTGTCCATTTCGCGCACATGGCTTTCTTCAAAGAATTCTAGGAACTGTAGTTTGTTAAGGGTGTTGGGAATGGTTGCTCTCTGATGGGTAAACTACAGTTCCCATGATTCTTTGGGGGAAGCCATGTGTGAATGTGTGTGCCATTAAATGTGCTTTAAATGTATGGTGCGGATACTATTTCCCCCACTGTTTATCACCCCTCTTCTTTGTTTCCCACCCACACATCTTTCTTTCTTTCAGTTATACCTTCTCCTCCCTTAAAAGGTACACATGATTTCTGGTCCCTCTTTTTTTTTTTTTTGCAATTTGGCAAGTGCCTGGTTCAAAGGGACTTCCCTTGAAAGGAAAAGAAATGGTGGTATGGGCATGTGTGAGTGTGATCTAGGGAGTCTGCCATCTACATTTGGCATGGAACAAGAATCTATAAGGGGAGCAGGGGTGGAAGGGGTGGACGGGAAGAAGCATATCTGAGTCTCCCACTCTTCAACTCCCACTGTTGCCACTTCTAAGTAGCAGGAAGGCAGAGGAGTCATGTGATACTCTGCTTGAACAGGGAGAAGGAGGGAGGCGGATGTAGCATAAAAGGACACTAAACGGATGCTGTTCACAAACCGAAGCTCAGCAACTTCAGAAACCAAACCAACCCAGAAGAAGAAGAGAAGAGTGTGGATTTGATATCCCGCTTTATCACTACCCAAAGGAGTCTCAAAGAGGCTAAAATTCTCATTTCCCTTCCTCCCCCACAACAAACACTCTGTGAGGTGAGTGGGGCTGAGAGACTTCAGAGAAGTGTGACTAGCCCAAGGTCACCCAGCAGCTGCATGTGGAGGCGCGGAGGCGCGAACCCGGTTCCCCAGATTACGAGACTACCGCTCTTAAACACTACACCACACCAGCTTCATAGCCCAGAGCAGCAGTCAAGTCATAGGATCTTCTGTGACTTTCAGGGCAGTTATATGGTGGAAAGCCAGTGCACAACCACCTCCCCAAAAAACACTGTGAGGATTTGCTTTGAATTCACCTGCTACCTTCTCAAAATATCAGGACACAGTGGGCCCTGGGGAAGTGTCCTCTGATCTAGCCAATGGGCAGTGCTTAGAGTGCCAGGCCAGAGGAGGGGGAATTAAGGGATGTCCAGCCCAGTCTTCAGCATTGGTGCTGACCTTTAAAGCCCTAAACGGCCTTGGCCCAGTATACCTGAAGGAATGTCTCCACCCCCATCGTTCTACCCGGACACTGAGGTCCAGCTCCGAGGGCCTTCTGGAAGTTCCCTCACTGCGAGAAGTGAGGTTACAGGGAACCAGGCAGAGGGCCTGCTCAGTAGTGGCGCCCGCCCTGTGGAACGCCCTCCCATCAGATATCAAGGAAATAAACAACTATCTGACTTTTAGAAGACACCTGAAGGCAGCCCTGTTTAGGGAAGTTTTTAATGTTTGATGTTTGATTGTGTTGGGAGCTGCCAGAGTGGCTGGGGTATAAATATATGATGATGATGATGATGATGATGATGATGATTCAGCAGTGCCAAGGTTCTGGGAGCCCTGGCAGATGCCGAGTGCTGCCACTGACCCTGCTAAATAGAAACCCTCTTCTTGCAAGTCCTTCTTGTTTCTTCGGCTCCATCCACCAAAAGCCCAGTTCCAGCAATGCATTCTTAGTGGCATTTGACTAGGGAAGGAGGGAGGAGGAGTTTGGCCTGGCATATCTGTAGGGAAGCTCCTGAAATTAAGTGACAGATGGCCATGGTCTCAGGTGTCTTCAGAGGGATCCTGTGGTCTTCCTACCCACAGGAATTGGGGTCAAATCTGTAACTGAGGCGAACATAGCATGAGGCAGCAGAGCACAGCAGCAGGAGCTGCAAGCTATAGGAGAAAGGACAGAACTATTTTGCACTGGCATCGCCAAGGCAAGACCCTCCTCAAACTGCTAGTTTGCTGAATGCAATGCAAGCCTCCCTCAGAAGGCTGCTCTGCTTTTGGGGAACTGGGCCAGAGACATCTATGAGCAAAGCCCTGGCAACAGGCTCGTCCTCTCTCTGCAAATGAGATAGCTAGCCGTGTTCAGCTCTCTCCCTCTTTCTCTCCTGGCAATGGGCTCTGTACGTGATAATGATATATTAATTTACATTAATTATAGCATTAATACATCCTCAGGGCTTCTCAGGAGCAGCAGCTAATTACTCTGTCACACGGATGCTCTGGGATACGGTCCCTGCGTTAGGAAGCCTAGAATCAGGCAGAGCTTTTGTCGGGAGGGATGAACCTGAAGGCAGAGGTGGCGGTCAGGGTGGGCTATAAAAAGGTCACTCTGTCTCTTGTACAGGTGTGTGAGTCAGGCTGTGATTACCACGTTCACTGCACCTCATGAAGCATCACAATAAAACAATGGCAGGGCGTTTGGAAACACCCACAAATCCTGGGCACACAAAGGCTCGCTCAGATAACTGAGCCTGCTGCAAAATATATGCAAAATACTATCCCCAATGGCCATCAGCTATGTTTTCACAAATATAACCTGCCTGTTCTCTGTTCTCACTTCCAAGGTGAGCGTGTATCTGATATTAGAATAACATGTGACCTCCTACCATCTCATCCCAGGAGTCTCATCCCACTTCTCATCTCGTTCTGTACAATAGTATGGAGAGCCTTTGAAATCTATAGGGTCCCAATTGATTCCCATTGTAAGAATGCATTGCCTAGAGTTGCAGTTCTGGTGATAGTTTATAGAGAAGCATTCCAAAATATGAGGCATTTTGTAGCAGAAGAATCTGACGTGAGGAGAGCAATTTGGTTTTGCAGAGCTATGATCCACTTGAATATGCAACAGTCTTTCAACATAAGATAAAGTCTTTAAACTTGTGGCTATGCCTTCCATAGGTAATCATGAGAAGCTTCTGCTCTGTCCTGTGCTTAGCTTTATGGAAACAAATTCTTCTGATGCCACCTTATTCTCTTGATGTATCTACTGCACGATCTACAGAGCAATCTGCCACACTGAGTTCCAGTGGGCTTCCAAATACGTGTGTAGTACCTGCACCCTTAGTCTGCAAACGCAGAGCCCATTCACTTCTTAAGACATTTAATACAGAATACTGTAGATAGGGAAATCTCGTGATGCCAAGATGGTATTGGTTTTTATTTTCTGACTACTGATTCTGAATTAAAACCAGATAGTGATACCTAAATTCATAACGACCAAAGCGCTTTACAGGCATTGCCCCCATCATCCTTGCATCAAGCTATCTAGTGGGCCTTTTTCTACAGTAATGCCTCCTACAGAGAGCCAGTGTGGTGTAGTGGTTAAGAGCGGTAGTCTTGTAATCTGGGGAACCGGGTTCGCGTCTCCGCTCCTCCACATGCAGCTGCTGGGTGACCTTGGGCCAGTCACACTTCTTTGAAGTGTCTCAGCCCCACTCACCTCACAGAGTGTTTGTTGTGGGGGAGGAAGGGAAAAGAGAATGTTGGCCACTTTGAGACTCCTTAGGGTAGTGATAAAGTGGGATAGCAAATCCAAACTCTTCTTTTCCTCCAACCCAGGAAAGCTGCCCTTAAAAATTTCCCACAATGCCCCAGAATTCCAGGGCATTGCAGAAATATTTAAGCAGCGGCTTCCCAGACTTAGCTACTCAGTGTGGCAGGCTGAAAGCAAGCACCAAGAGAAGCCCTACTGGGGCCTCAGCAGCTGCCCAAGAATAACAGTTGCCAAGGTTTGGCATGGAACTGGCAGAACAATATTGGCTTGCCTTAGGGCCACTTACTAAACTCATGGCCAAGCAAGTGGAAACCACTATGCTACCTTAATTCACTGAAAGGAAGCTACTTAATGACTTGATTCCTAGTTTCACAGTTGTATACTATAGCTGCACCCATAGACTCCTCAAGTAACCATCAATTTTCCAAGCCCTCTTATCCAATGAGCAAATGCCTAGACCTGGCTTCTTTCATTCACACTCATTCTTTTTACCCCTAATACAAGGCCCCAGACACAACACCCCAATTCTATGCACCACACTCCACATTCCCACCAGCTCCCTCCTGGTTTGCAAATGGTACCTGAATGGAGACGTCACTGTAGGAGCCCCCGATAACCCCTGTGATAGCTGTAGGTACATCATCATGAATGGCGTAGGACCCATCAGGGCAGATGTGCTCAGAGCCGTCCACTCTGGTGAGGGAGGCACGCACAAAATCCAGGGATTGTTCTAGAGCATAGGTGTCCTTGGAACAGGTGTCTAGGATGTGAGCTCCCAGGGTGATGCCTGGCAGAAGCTGCTGGTTCTTGTTGATCTCATCTAGGGCAAAGAGCATAGCTTCAAGGCGCTGGATGCCACGATGTTCATTGATCTTGCCACACTCCTCTGTAGGATTTCCTTTCTCGTGGACTGGGAACAGGCCCCCAATAACCAGGTCACCTTCCAAGCTGATCTCCTTCTTGGCTGCCACGTTGTATCCGGGGCTTTGGCCATGAATGCTGGTGTGGCACGCAACAGGATAGACCAGCAGAATCCATAGGGTGGCAGAGGATGCCATTGCACTGCCTCAAGAGGGCAGCAAGCACCTTTCCAAGCCACAAGGAGACCTCCCTGGTCAGAGCAAAGGTGTCAGATAGCCTACCATTTGTTGTGGGCAGTTGTGTCTCTGAAACACCTTTAATTCAACAGCAGTGTCCAATGGCCATCCTGCCGCAAGGCAACTCCAGCCTTAGGTGAATAAACAGTTATATTGTGATGTCCAAATATAGCCAAACAGAAGCAATTGCTGCTGGGAGTTGTGCTTTTTATCAACCCCTTTGGAGAAAGAAAGACACAACAACCTGTGGGAGACAGAGAAAGAGAGAGGAAAAAGAGGGGAGATAATTAGTTACAGCATGAAAGGCCCAGTGGAGATATCCTTTAAGTTTTGGATCTTTAGTTTTATGGTGCCACAAATGTGCCACTACTGGGTACTATAAATATCATCACTTTTACAGGGGAATCCCTTAACTAGTCACTTCACAGCACATATTCAAGGTAGCTCCCTACTAAGAAAATGGTATTTGCTTAGGATAGGCAGGCACCAGCTTTTCTGCTGAGCTCAGGCAAGCCTCAGGAAATATGTTCCTCAGGCACAACTAGGATTCCAAGCCATGAAAACTGTACTCATTTCATTGTTTACACAGGCTGATTACTAGTAAAAAATAGATACCTTATGTCCATTCATTCATTTATTCATTCATTACAATTTCTCAAGAGTTACAAGGCTAACCAGGGAAGCACTATAAACTATATTAGTTACAATAAAAGACAAACAAAACCCCCACTTCTATACAGACTGTTCATATTTTTTATATGATATATACACACACCACATTTTGAAAAACACCCACATGTATACTAGTATCCCTTGGTTTAATATAATTTGTTATCAGCATCCCTTATTTTGAAGAATTAATGCTTATTTCAAAGAAGTATTCCTTGCTTTAGAATAGAATACCAGGATGGAACACAGTGGACAGACTAGAACAGGGCTCACCAACATTTCAGCCCCAAAATGGCTGCTGTAGGGGCATGTCTGCCACATCTAAAAGGGCAGAAGAGGGGTCAGCAACATTTTTTGAGGCCGGGCCGGTCCACTTCCTGACAGACCTCTCAGTGGGCCGGAGCGTGCACGCTTGCGCCTGTGCATGCACTCAAGCTACTTCCGGTGCTCTTCCAGGACAGAGGAGCGCCCGTGTGCATGCACACACACTATTTCTGGTGCTCTTCCGACCTAGAAGTCGGTCCCTGCAGTGAGAAAAAAATGGCGCCACGGGAAAAAAGCACGGAATCCCCACGCTGATCCACAGAATGGCCGTGGGCCGGTTCCAGGAAGCTCATTGGCCGGACCTGGCCCATGGGCCTTAGGTTGCCAACCTCTTGGGCAGAAGGAGAGGACCACAAAATGGTGCAGGCAATTCAGTGTTGGTGTTGACCTTTAAAGTCCCAAGTGGCCTTGGCCCAGTATACCTGAAGGAGTGTCTCCGCCCTCAATGTTCTACCTGGACACTGAGATCCCACGTCGAGGGGCTTCTGGTGGTTCCCTCACTGTGAGAAGCCAAGTTACAGGGAACCAGGCAGAGGGCCTTCTCGGTAATGGTGCCCACCCTGTGGAATGCCCTCCCATCAGATGTCAAAGAGATAAACAACTACCTGGCATTTAGAAGACATCTGAAGGCAGCCCTGTTTAGGGAAGTTTTTAATGTTTGATGTTCTATCGTGTTTTTGATATTCTGTTGGGAGCTGCCAGAGTGACCTATTATCAGTGGGGGGAAAGGCACCTACATTAGCCACCAAAGCACTTTCACACAGAGAGATGCTCTCAGCACCTCTTCTCCATTCTGTCCTCCAGCAGATTGTGGACATGTTTAAGGGGATGTGTTCAGTGCAGAAGAGGCGGAGCTTCTGCAAACAGGAGCTGAGCAGCAGCAAGAGCAAACTGTCTCTCAAATATTGTGGATTTTTAAGGAGATATTTACTGAGACCGTCTGCACGCACTGTCATGGGAGTTATTAGCAGGCCAGCTGGGCGGCATGTTGGTGACCCCTGGCATCTGCACAGAATTGCAAAGGAAAACTTCAATTCTAGATTTAATTATATTTTGGGGACTATTCTCTTTTTAATGAATTAAAGTGAATTCCTTCACTTGCTTCAAAATGTGGCAAGGTAACCCTGCTTTGTTTGGAAGTTGGAAGAAGGGATGATAGAAACATTGAAGGGATGGGGGGGAGGGAGAGAGGTTGAGCCACAGGGTCCTCATTTCCTGCTACATCAGAATGGTTGAAAATGTATGGCCAGTACCCCAAATTCTTTCCATCTTTGCCTCTCCTTTCTCTCTGCTGCTGACAGAATAATATTCCCCGTCCCATTTTTTAAACATTATATCCTCCTATTTCATTCCTCTAAGGAAATCTTTTACTCCCCATAAGAATATCAGAAAAACCCTGCTGGATCAGGCCAGTGCCCCTTCTAGTCCAGCATCCTGTCCCCACAGTTGCCAACCAAATGCCCCTGGGAGGCCTCTAAGATGACCCTGGGTGCAAGAGCAGCACTCCCGTCCTCTCCTGTGACTTCCAGCAGCTGGTATTGAGGGGCACAGGGGCTCCAACATGGCCCAAATAGTAAGTGCTTCAGAAAACAAGACTGCAGGCCAATGACCTGCAAACCACGACCAGTTTCTCTGGTATTGTGTTCAAAGTAGCTAAGTGGTTAGCATTTTATGACATCTTGTAAGAATTAAATAGCACAACTCGACATAATACGCAACGTTCGTTTTTTAAAAACAAGAAGGGAAAATGTTTTATTTTGGGATGACTAAACATAGGCTGGACAACTGTTTCTTGGACGACTGGAATCTATGCAGGCAACTAAAAAAAATTCCCTTTTACCACTGATGAAGATATAAAACAAAGAGCCGGGGAGGGGGGGGATAGGCCAGGTGACATCTCTAGCCCCTTGCCGTATGTCAAGTTTTGCTTTTTAAAGTCTGCAACCCTGCAGAGTACACCTTTGTTCCAGAATGTCTATTATTTCAGAAATCCACAGAACGAGTAGCGCAGCTTTGTACTGTTCTATATTTTAAGTCTGCAGATTTCTTCCCTGCGTCTCCCCTTCCCCATTTAACATGAAGAAACTTCTGGCATAGAACTCCCCAGGATTCCTTGTCACCATGGCAACCAGGAGATAGAGAGGCAGGGTGTGTACATGTGTGCAGGGCCAGATTTAACATTTAGCAGCTGTAGGTGCCTTCCTAGGGCAACGCTGTCCCGTGGGTAGTGTTTTCTCTGCCAAATTTGCAGGTAGCAAATACACTGTGCTGGAGACAAGGGGGTGGGCATAGTGAGAAAGAAAGAAAGAAAGAAAGAAAGAAAGAAAGAAAGAAAGAAAGAAAGAAAGAAAGAATCACCCCACTCCTCTTGAATTATTCCATACTCTTTATGAGTGTCTGCTTGGAAAGTGTGCATGAAAAAGGGAAGCTGTGAAAGAGGTTGTCATTTTGACTTTCCGCCTACAATGCCCACTGTCAAAACATCTAAAGCCAGGTAGGGGCATGTGTGCATGTGTAAAACCTAGAATTCCTACAGGGAGAAGTCTGGCTGCCTTTTGGTCAAACCATCTCTTTTCTTTGTTCTTTGCACTATGAGCTGTGTCAAATGTGCCAATTTTATCTGGCATGAGTGCCTCATAGCACCTCTTGGGGTTTGAACTCCTAGCCATTCTGAACCAAATTTCTCTTGCTTGCCAACACCATATATGCCTTGCCTGATGCTTTGCATGATTCTGTTGCTGGAGGAAATAAAGGTTGTTTGTTTTCTTTGGGTGTTTTTTTTAAAGCTGGTTTAATTCACACCACGTCCTGCTCCCTCGGTCCATCACTCTCCCCTTGTGACCAAGTGTCTGGGATGAGGGCAGACTGACAAGAAGGAAACACTAGCCAGGATTTGACACTCAAAAAACATAGCTGCTTCCCTCCACTTCTCTCCTCATGTTTCTCTTCCCTTTTCTTCCCAAGCATAGTGCAAAATTTGAGGCTCAGAACACAGCATGTTTAAAATGGGGGATAAATTCCTAGGCAGAAACAGCAAGGGATAAACTGAAGTTATAATGATGACATACTCAGAACTAAGGGTGTGGATTTCAAAGGATAGTTTGTACAGTATTTTGGTCTGCGTATTGTGTCAGGAAGTGCAAATTAGGTAGTAAAGGGACCCCTGACCATTAGGTCCAGTCGTGGCCGACTCTGGGGTTGCGGCGCTCATCTCGCTTAATTGGCCAAGGGAGCCAACGTACAGCTTCCAGGTCATGTGGCCAGCATGACTAAGCCGCTTCTGGCAAACCAGAGCAGCGTGCGGAAATGCTGTTTGCCTTCCCGCCAGAGCGGTACTTATTTATCTACTTGCACTTTGATGAGCTTTCGAATTGCTAGGTTGGCAGGAGCTGGGACCGAGCAACGGGAGCTCACCCCATCGCAGGGATTCGAACCGCCGACCTTCTGATCGGCAAGTCCTAGGCTCTGTGGTTTAACCCACAGCGCCACCCACGTCCCTGAAATTAGGTAGTGGACCAAACCAAATTTAAACAAATTGAAATTAAATTAAAATCTGAAATGAACCAACATTCATAAAAATCTGAAACGAACCAACCATACAAGAAAGAAGATTCCACCTAAACATTAGGAAGAACTTCCTGACAGTAAGAGCTGTTCGACAGTGGAATTTGCTGCCAAGGAGTGTGGTGGAGTCTCCTTCTTTGGAGGTCTTTAAGCAGAGGCTTGACAGCCATAAGTCAGGAGTGCTCTGATGGTGTTTCCTGCTTGGCAGGGGGCTGGACTCGATGGCCCTTGTGGTCTCTTCCAACTCTATGATTCTGTGTTATTCTATGTTCTATGTTCTCTCCCATCCCCATCCTGAAGAGAGTGTCAACTTTAGCCTGTTCTTGCAAACCCTGATGGAACAAAAGACACTTGGCAACACTGAGAGCTCACCCCATGATTTCTAGGCACAGGTCTGAAAGGTT